AGGCCCTACAGGATCAAGAAGGTTCAGTTAATCAAGAGATTGAACAATTTCAGCAAGCCATAGAAAAAGACAAAGAAGAACATAATAGAATTAAGTAAGTTCAAAATCCCTAAAATGATTTTAAATTACTTGACTATCACACTGTTTTGCTTTCTTATTGAAGAGAGGAAACTAGTTTAATTCTCAAAACTTCTTCCCTTGTGGAGCTAAAGAGTAAGTCCTTGTTTGTCATTATTAAGACACGCTTTATTGCATTATATGATACTTTTTTTATGACGAGTTTTGAGAACTTATTATTTCATTTCATGATTATTTTTCGATAAAGACTTCCTGCTTTTAGTTCTTTGGGCAGCTGACAATAGATCAGACTCAGTATTTTTTATAGAACTGTATCACATGGCTATTTTGTTTTTTCATTGACTTTTTTAGGAGAGAAGAATTAGATGTAAAGCAGTTGCTGAGCTATAACCAGAGACAGCTAAAGGAACTGAAAGATAGTAAAACTGATCGACTGAAAAGATTTGGTCCTAATGTTCCAGCTCTTCTTGAAGCCATAGATGATGCTCATAAACGTGGACATTTTACCTACAAACCTATAGGCCCTTTAGGTACTTTTCATTGTTTAGTGGAGTTAGAATAACTAAAAGTTATGTTTTTATTTGAGTAAGGAGTCTGTTGCAGTTAGTTTAAAAGGATTATTGAGTATTTAGTCTTTATATATCTATTTTAATAATATAAACTCATAAGTTTTGCCTTTGGCATTTTTAAAGCTTAAACATAATGAAAAGAAACATTTTTAAAAGGGAAATAGAGAGTTGAATAATCTTGTCCTAATTTTCCCCCTGCATTAATAAACAGATAAATTACTTGAGTAAATGAAATTCAATATAAATAAGTCTAAAGCTAATAGTCACATCTAAATATACATGAAGGAGCAGTCACCTGGGTTTTCTTTCTCAGTTTCTACTTAGTTTGGACAACTTGATATCTGTAGCCCCCTCTAACTGTAAAATCTTTAGCTATTCTTATTCTATTTATGTGAGATTAAAAAAAACAACCTTCAGTCAAATCTTCTGAGAAGTACTTCTAATTCTGTATATAGTAGATATAAACATTTTTATGAATGGAGATGTGTTTTTGTCAGCAGAATACTATATTTAAGAGTCTAGTACTCTCTCATCATTTAAATAAACCCACTGTCATCTAGTCATTTCATTAGCAACCCTAATCAGATTTCCACAGCCTAAAAATATATATAAGAAGAGACTGCCCAACTTTTCTCCTTGGAACAGCTAGTGAACCTTTTCAATAACAGCTTAAAATTTAAGTAAAATGTTTCCTTTTATCAAGGTTTATTTCAAATGGAGATATTCCCCCAAATCTAAAGTCTGAATATTAATCAGCTTTCTAGAAAAAATTAATCTGTAGATCTTTAACTTGGTTTTCAAAACAGGATGGGAAAAGTAGGTAATATAAAGTTAGCGAATTACTATTTCCTAATTAGTTAAAATGATCTGTAATATTTCAGGTGATTTTCATGAAAACATTTTTTTTGTTATTTATAAATGTTACATAATTACGTTATTATTTTATAATACATTTTTGTGAATCTTGGTATCATTTTCCTCCTTAGGAGCATGTATTCACCTCCGTGACCCTGAGCTGGCTTTAGCTATTGAATCCTGCTTAAAAGGACTTCTGCAAGCCTATTGTTGCCATAATCATTCTGATGAGAGGGTACTTCAAGCACTGATGAAACGATTTTATTCACCAGGCACCACAAGGCCACAAATCATAGTTTCTGAGTTTCGGAAGGAGATGTATGATGTTAGACACAGGTAAGGCAACAATTAAGTAACAACTGCTTCAGATTTTACATGATCATATGGAGGGTCAGTTAGAACATTTTTTAATATTTTATCTGTACTGTTGAGCTGTAAGATTGCATTGAGTCATGCATTTAATTTCTCTCTTATGCATTCGTTCAGAACATGCGTGATACATAGGTTAATAGAATATAATCCTTTTTCTGATATGTGCATTGCAATCTATAGTAGAAATCAGTCAGGCAAATAGATATGGCATAACACAGAAATTAGGTTAATTATGGAAATGATACAGCCTTAACCAAACTAAGGGAGAAGTCTTAAGAAAAGAAAGTGGTACTCATTTCCCAGAAAGAGCCTGCCTGCAGTTTAACTCTAAAAATATTTCAAAGAATCCATAAAAACTGGAAATTGTTATCTTTGTTAATTCTGACAAGCCCACACAGAACTGTCCTTTTCATCTGTTAGCTTTTGGGTAATCATTTGACCTTTTAAAAAAATTAAGTGAAAGAAAAAGGATTCCCCTATTTTGATTTGTGTTTTTTACATATTTTTCCTTCCCAACTCCATTTTTTAAGTATTTTGTTGCATAAATCCTGCCTTTTGCTTTTGTTTATTAATATACTGCTGTGCCCCTCTTATTGTGTGTAAACACTAGTTGTCTCTGTCATTTCATATCACTGATAAAATTGAAATAGAGCATTGAGATGTGCTTTAGAAGAGAGAATACTTACCTAAGGAAGATGATCAGGAAAGAATTTAAAGAAAGAATGATAAGTTACCAGGGATTTAATTGATGAGTTTGCCAAGAGAAAGAATTAATTGCCTTCAAAGCAAATGGAATTCATGACGCACATTGTGAAATACTCTTGTCAAATATGGCCTTCGCATTATTGATGGAAAATAAAAAATGAAAATAAAACAAATTCAGTAAAACATATTCATTAAAAAAAGAACGTTCCTGGCTGAAGTTTAAGTTTCTGACTGGAATGATAAGCTCTTTTGTTTCTGACTGGAGTGACTAAAGGCGATGTTGTCATTAGATGTAGGGGAAATGCAGGAATACCTCGGAGATACTGTAGGTTTGGATCCAGACTACTGCGATAAATCCAGTATTGCAATAAAGTGATTCAGATGAAAGAGGACTAATCTCCTTATGTGTAGTTTACAGCCTCAGTTATCCACCAGAGCATCAGCAATGAGTAAGTTCCAACTCAACAGCAATGAACTTTTGAGTGTATGTAAGTTTTGTTTACACTATTAAAAGAGCTCTAGTGTTGTAGTGGGGAACTCTGGTGGTCTAGTCAATAAGAAGTAGCACTAACTCAAAGGCTACACTTCTCTGCCTGTTTGAATCTTATCAGTAGCTCTATGAGAAAAAGATGTACATTCTACGCCTGTGTGATTTACATCCTCTGAAAACCCATTGGAAGATTAACTATGAGTCTGTTCCTTTTGGTCACAGTGAGTGAGTGAGTGTTATGATGTGTTAATATTTTAGACTTCAAGTTCACCAGCTATTCGGCAGGAGAAAGAGAGGCATTCTCGAGTAAAGATTTACAGGTTTGGAAACATAATGGAGTCACTACTGATCACTATGAGTAGGAGTCAGCTTGATTGGCATAGGCTTACAGTCTGCTAATTATGTAATGTTGTGTGCCATTAAACAGAAACTGATCGATGATTGCTCCTTCTTGCCACTCGGCCACCAGTGTCTCTTCCATTTTATAATACCATTATGGAAAAGCTTAAAGTAATATGAGAATTACCAAACTGTGGCATAGGAATGAAGTAGGGACATGCTGTTTTGAAAAATAGTGCTGCTAGACTAGATGATACAGAGTGAGAGCTCTGTCGGACTATAAAACCAAACATGTTAAAACATGGAATGCCTGTGTAAGGAAAATGTGGATTTTTTTTCCAAAGTGCATTAATCCTTATTTTAGAATTATAAATTTGAGCTTTAAGGCTAGAGGCAGTATCTGGGAGTGTCAGATAAGTTGTTTTCTCTGTCAGAAACAAAATTTGACCTTATGTTGATTTCTAACTGTGCCTACAGTTTTAAAAAAGTAAATTTCAACTATACTCCCAAGTAACATTGCTAATAGTAAAAATGACACCTACTGAGTTAGTGATGAGTAGACCTAGTGGTAAAATGGGTAATTGTTTAGTTGTTAGCCAGAAAGCATGAAGTGCGAACCTAGCAGCCCTTCTTCTGTAAAATACTGGAGCAGCCTTCTTCAGTAAAGATTTATTGCCTTGGAAAGTTTATGAGGCAGTTCTTACCTGTCTTAAAAAGTTGCTCTAAATTGATACCTATATTTTTTCCCATTCCAAAGAAGGGTGACCCAACAGAGTTTAGAAAGTACAGAACGATGTCATTGATTTCACATACAAGCAAGATTCTACTAAAGATTATCCAAAAACGAATGGAACAGCACTTCAGCAGAGATCTGCCAGAAGTCCAGGCTGGGTTTAGAAGGGGTTGTGGTACTAGGGATATTGTAACTGATGTTAGATGGATCTCGGCCAAAAGCAGGGAATACCAGAGGAATGGATATCTGTGTTTCATTGATAATGCAAAGGCGTTTGACTGTGTGGCTCATAATAAACTGTGGCTGACTCTGAGAAGAATGGGAATCCCAGAACATTTGATTGTGTTTAAGCAAAACTTAAAGGAGCAGGAGGCAGTCGTCAGAACAGAGCAAGGAAATACTGCATGGTTCAAAATTGGGAAGGATGTATGCCAGGGATGTGTCCTAGCTCCATACCTTTTCATCCTGTATGCAGAACAAATTATCCGGGAGGCTGGGCTCTATGAGGAGAAGTGTGGCGTCAGGATTGGTGGAAGATCTATCAACATTCTGCGTTATGCAGATGACACAACCCTGCTTGCTGAAACTGAGGAGGACCTGAAGCGCTTGCTGCAGAGGATTAAGGACTGCAGCCTTCAATATGGATTGAGGCACAATATCAAGAAGACAAGGATTCTCAGCACTGGACCAATTGGCAGCATCAGGATGGATGGTGAAGAGATTGAGGTTGTTCACAGCTTTAGTCAGCTTGGCTCCACAGTCACCACTCTCCGCACCAGTAGCCAGGAAATGAAAAGACATATTGCAATGGGAAAGTCTGCTGTTAGGGAGCTCTCCAAAGTACTGAAGAGTAATGGTGTCACTCTGGAGACTAAAGTGCGTTTGAAACAGGATATGGTCTTTGCAATCACTTGCTGTGCATCCGAGAGTTGGAAAATGACTAAGGAGGATAGAAGGAGAATTGATGCCTTTGAGCTGTGGTGCTGGAGAAGAGTATTGAGTGTATCATGGACTGCTAAGAAAACAAACAGATTCATCCTGGAGAGGGTTAAACTGGGCTGCTCCTTGGAGGCAAGGATTCTGAGGCTTCGTCTGACATACTTTGGTTATGTTGTAAGGAGGGAGAGGTCCTTGGAGAGGGACATCATACTTGGGAGGGTGGAGGGACAGCGCAGGAGGAGAAGACCCTCTATGAGGTGGATTAATTCAGTACTAGGGTAATTGGAATGGGAGTGTCAGAGGTAGTGAGATTGGCACAGGACAGAGCAGGGTTTACGGCTGTTGTACATAAGGTCGCTATGAGTCACAAGTGACTCGACGACACATAACAACAACAGCTGTATGGCAGTGGGTAGGCTAGTTGCATCTGAGGTGAGAAAACTATGAAGTTCTGGTGAGATACCAATGTGATGAGTCTTTTAATTGGGCATTTCTCTTATGGAGATTTTGGAGGCTATTCTTGTGGAGTTAGGAGAGGTATTGACTTTGAGCATGTTATCAGAAGACAGCCCCTTGAGATATCATGCTTGGAAAAGTAGAGAGTCAGTGAAAGAAGGCAGCTCTCAAGGAGATCGAGGAACAAACTGGAAGGAAAGGGCTTAAGACAACAGAAACTGTAAGAATGGTGCAGGATCAAGTAAAATTTGATTCTGTTGTACATCAGGTTATTTACGAGTTGTAACCGACTCAAGGGACCCACCAACATAGAGTATTTTATGTGCCTAGATATTTAGGGGGAAAAAATCACTCTCCTTTTCTATGCCATAAATATTTGAAGAGTCATCTCTAGTTAGTGTCATAAGTATCATGAGTAGATGAAATCTGCTGGTAGGAAGAATGTTAAGAATGAATGTATACAGAAAAAATACCAAACAATTTCTGGAATTTCTTAGAAGGAAAATCTAGATAGTACACTATGAAAGTGGTTTTATAGAAATGAAAGCTGGTGTTAAGTCTTCAGAGTTTTAGTGGTGTAGTGCATAGTGTGTTGCACTTCTACTCATAAGGCAGTGCATTTATTTTTTCGTTCAAATCCACTGGTGGCACCTTGAGAAAGAGATGGCAGTCTCCTCCTGTTAATATTTATAGCCTCAGAAATTCAAGAGCGTCGTTGAGATTCAGAATTGATTCTGTGGCAGTGAGTTTTAAGAAGAGAATTTACATATTAAGTACTGCAGAAACATCAATACAGTTGGCAGTAGGTCAAGAATAGATTCCACCCAACAGAAGCTGGATTAATGGAGAGCTATCTGTAAAGATAACTTTGTTCTTAGAGACTTGACTGAGAAGAAATAAGTCATTTAGTTGGAAAGGGAAGCAGAATGGAAAAATTGTAAAGATGGAGAATGTTTGAAATTATTTATAGATTGTCTAGTAAGAAAAAGGAAGTAGAGATGAAATTAGCCAATTGACCATATGAGAGAGTAACATCCCATGGGAGACAAAGGAGAATGTCTAACAGAATACAAGCTGACAGATTATCCTGATAAAGTAGGAAGAATGATGAGAGCCTTAAGTTTGGATTGTGTGTGCTTGCTATTTGTTATATGTGTCTTAAATTTGTATGATATAATGTCCATTTTTAAAAAACAAATTCATATCCTTTTTGACACTTTTTGGGAGTTGAATATGAAGATTGGAAGCAATCCTATTATTATTTGTTGTTGTTGTTATGTGCTGTCAAGTTGCTTGCAACTCATAGTGACCCTATGTACAACAGCCCTAAACCCTGCTCTGTCTCTTGCCAGTCTCACTGTAGCTGACATGCCTATCTCCATTACCTCGGTGACTGAATCAATCCATCTCATTGAGGGTCTTCCTCTCCTGCATCATCCCTCCATCCTCCCAAGCATGACAGCCCTCTCCAAGGAATGTTCCCTCCTTGCAGCATGTGCAAAATATGTCAGATGAAGCTTCAGAATCCTTGCCTCCAAGGAGAAGCCTGGCTTCACCCTCTCCAAGATGAACTTGTTTGTTGTCCTAGCAGTCCATGGTATATTCAATACGCTTCTCCAGTACCGAAGCTCAAAAACATCAGCTTTCCTTCTATCATCCCTAGTCATTGTCCAGCTCTCTGAAGCATAGCAAGTGATTGCAAAGACCATAGACCGTATCCGGTGCACCTTAGTCTCCAGACTGACATCGTTGCTCCTCAATACCTTGGAGAGGTCTCTGACAGCAGACTTTCCCAGTGCAATTCATCTTTTAATTTCCTGGCTTCTGGTACCAAGAGTGTTGATTGTAGAGCCAAGCAAATTGAAGCTATCAGCAATTTCTATCTCTTCACCATCCATCATGATGCTGCTAATCAGCCCAGTGGTGTCTTGATGTTGAGCTTCCATTCATATTGAAGGCTGTAGTCCTTGACCCTCCACAGTAAGCACTTCATGTCTTCCTCAGTTTCAGCAACCAGGGTTGTGTCATCTGCATAATGCAGATTGTTGGTAAGTCTACCTCTAATTGTGATGCCACACTTTTCCTTATAGAGCCTAGCTTCCCGGATAATCTGTTCTGCATACAGGTTGAAAAGATAGGGAGTTAAGACACATCCTTGGCACACACCCTTCCCAATTTTGAACCATGCAGTGTTTCCTTGCTCTGTCTTGATGATTGACTCCTGGTCCAAGTATAAGTTTTGCTTAAACACAATCAAGTGTTTTGGGATTCCCATTCCTCTCAACGTCAGCCACAGTTTGTTGTAATCCACACAGTCAAATTCCTTTGCATAGTCAATGAAACACAGATAGACATTCCTCTAGTACTCTCTGCTTTCAGCCAAAATCCATCTAACATTAGCTATAATATCCCTAGTACTATTTCCTCTCCTAAATCCAGCCTGCACTTCAGGCAGTTCTCTGTTGATATGCTGTTCTAGTTGGTTTTGGATGATCTTCAGCAGAATCATGCTTGCATGTGATATCAACGATATTGTTTTATAATTTCCACACTCTGTTGGATCACCTTTCTTTGGAATGGGAACAAATATAGATCTCTTCCAGTCAGTAGGCCAGGTAGTTGTCCTCCAGATTTCTTGGCACAATTTGGTGAGCACATCCAGGGCAGCATCTGTTTATTGAAATCCTATTTAAGAGTTTAAAATAGCTGCTGAGGAAAATGAGAGCATAAATTGACCCAAAATCCATTTAAGATTTGAAAAACCTATGGTAATAGTAAAAGTTTTAATTTAATAATCATTGTTTATTTTATAGGTATGAGTGGAGAAAGTTTTATGTGCTAGATGAATACTATTAAGGTGTTCATGGCATAGTGCATAGTGCCTTAAACTGCTAATCAAAAGACTGCAAGTCCTGTGGTTTAATTTAGCAGTGATTCCATGGGACAAAGATGTGTAATCTGTGCTGTTTATATCCTTGGAAACCCAATTACGGGTCAGTTCCTGCTTGGTAGCGGAGAGTTTGAGTTTTGGTGTTTTTGTTTTTGTTTTTAATTTTTTTTTCAATTTTATTTTATTATTTTTTGTGCTTGTACCGTCAAATCGGATCTGACTGGTACAGGAGGATACTGCCCCTCCTTCTCCCGCTGAGCAGAGCATCTGGTGGAGAGTTTGAGTTTTTTTAGTTTGAATCTAGATTCTGAGAGTTTGCTGCCCTATGTGATTTACATCATAGGCTTAGTTTTATAACATTGGGAAACCGATTAAACCCCCTGAAACTTAATATCTGACAAAAATGGAGAGAATGACAGTATACATCTCATAAAATTGAATGAGTAAATATTTGTCATGTACTTAGTACAGAACCTAACAGATAACATTTTAAAAATACTTGCTGCGTAAATAATATAGAAAACCTTAATATGTGGATTTTTTAATTTATTACCATATATTTCCCCATGATTGTATTATGTATAAACTGTTCATTTATACACTCACTTATTTAAAATTATATATGCATTTGTATAATATTAATATGTGGTAATTTAATCCTTGCATCTTTCTTGTTCCCTAGAGCTGCGTATCATCCAGACTTTCCAACAGTTCTGACTGCTTTAGAAATAGATAATGCAGTTGTTGCCAATAGCCTAATTGATATGAGGGGCATAGAGACAGTGCTGCTAATCAAAGTAAGACCAGATATTTGCTGTTGCTATTTTGACGTTTTCAAAGCTAAAAATGGTTATGTACATTCCCTTTCTTTTATTGTAGAGTTGTTGATCTGCCTCATCATTGAATTTTTACATTACAGAAAAATCGCTAGGATCATTTTTGTAGACTTGATTGTGCTTTTTCTAGTCGATAGACCTTTATATAACTTTTTGCTATTCTCCAGAAAATTTTCTTCACAATTGAATATAGTCCTTTTGGTGTATAGTATTATAAAAAAAATTTATTCTTTCATGATTGGCTGACAGATCCATTTTTAGTTGCTAGTAAAGATACATACTTATTATTCTACCTTTAGATATACTTCTTTGATATTTTATACATTATTCTCTTAAAACTTTGACCTCTAAAATAAGTCAGTGTTTATATTTATTTTTCCATTTTTATGTACTTGTTTCGTTGTTGCTGTTGTTTGGTGCCATTGAGTCAGCTATTATTCAGTGACTCTGAACAGTAAACTGAACCTTGCACTATCCTTGCTTTATTAGATTCCCATATTATATTTGAACAGTTGAAAAATTTGCTCAGAAGGGTCAGAGAATTTGAAAACAAATCTATATTCAAAATAAACATGCTAGAAGCTGTTTTTCCTCATTAATAGGAAAGGAGAAGTAGTGATATTGATATGTCACAATATTCTATATTTCAAGTTCATGTAATAATTATTTGTGGTTTTGGCACTCGTGTTTTAGAAGAATACTTCAAACAAAATAATAATGCTCTGTTGTAAAGCCCTTTCCCAGAGAGAGAGACTAACTAGTTCTTGATTAACCGTAATCCCCTTTTTACTTCATCCAAAACTTATATATTTATTTCCATATGTTGCATATAAATATAATAACATACTATGACAGGTTTGGAAGCAGGAGTGGCATCCACTTGCGAAATAATAAGCCTTTGGAAACTCTGTGAACTTGAATAAATGTTGATAGTTGTTGAGGGGCTGCAAGCCTTTTGTTCATAGGGTCACTGTGAGTCGTGCTCGACTCAAAGGCAATCAGCAATAATATTGGCAGTATACTGGCCTACTAGCAGGAAGCTGTGCTATAATCCCAAAGGCACGTGGGTTCAAGGCCACCAGCTGCTCCATGGGAAAAGGATGGGCAGTCTCCTCTCGTGCAATTAACTGCCTCTGATAACCTGCCAGAGTGTCAGCTATGGTTTGGTCTCGATTCCATGGTACAAAACAATCTTTTGTTAGATATGTTTTGGAGAGGGTGTGGGCAGAGTGCTTTTTGGAAGCAAGAATGATGAGGCTTCACCTCACATATTTTGGGCATGTTGCTAGGAGGGTCTGTTCTCTGGGGAAGGTCATGATGTTGGAAAAGGTTGAGGGTTGGCAAAGGAGAGAAAGTTCCTCAACCATGTGGACTGATACCTTGACTGCTGCAGTGGGCTCTTATGTGTCAGGAAGTGTGAGGATGGTGCAGGATAGAACAGGGTTCAGATCTTCTGTTCATAGGGCTACTATGAGTCATACTCGACGGCACCTAATGGCAACAGCAATCTCGTATTAGAATTTGCTTTTTATACATGTCTTTTTTCCAGGGTGTAAAAGTTATTTTACAAAGTAAGATCTGTCTGAAATAATGATTTTTAAATACAGAAATGTACCAAAAATGCTTTTTATAAAAGTATTTAAATAGCACTGTTAGAATTTAAAAATTAAATAACTAGTCTAATAGAAAACAGTAAATTTCTAACATTGTTGAGTAAGTTTTTCTAACTATTTTAATAGTATTGATGGAACCTTGAAAGTTGCTTTTGAAATTTTTTTTAATTGTTTTTAACTTGATGAAATTATTTCGTTTGGATCTTTAAATAAAATAGAATGTCAATATAATAGGATAGGTATAATTTGGAAACTTTATAAGATGGGTTTTATAATTTTGAAAATATTTTTTTCACATTCCTTTAGAATAACTCTGTAGCTCGTGCAGTTATGCAGTCCCAAAAGCCACCTAAGAACTGCAGAGAAGCATTTACTGCTGAAGGTGATCAGGTTTTTCCTGGGCGTTATTATTCATCTGAATATACAAGACCAAAGTTCCTGAGCAGAGATGTGGATTCTGAAATAAGGTAGGTATATCAAATTTTTAGCTTCACTGTAATTCTTCCACAGCTTCCTTCAGGATTCATATTGATTATATCTATGGCAGGAATTGTTGAACAAGCTCAATATCAGCAGTCAGAACCTGGCCAGGTACTGACTGTGGAATAGACCATCAATAATTCATGTGCAAGTTCAAGCTGAAGCTGAAGAAGGTTAACACAAGTCCACAAGAACCGAAATACAACCTTGGGTCTATCCCACCTGAGTTTAAAAAGCATCTCAAGAATATGTTTGAGACACTGAACACTAATCTTTAAAGACCAGATGAGTTGTGGGAGACCACCGGAGAAAGAAGTCATCCATGAAGAGAGTAAAAAGTTACTACACAGACAGAAGAAAGAAAAGTCCAAAATAGATGTCACAAGAGGCTTTAAAATTGCACTAAAATGTAAAGAAACCAAAACAGAGAGAAGAGATGCAGAGCTGAAAGAGATGAACAGAAGACTTTATAAGCAGCTTGAGAAGACAGAACAAAATATTATGAAGGAATATGCAGATAGCTGGAGTGAGAGAATAGCATGAGAAGAATTTACTCCATATTTCTCAAGCTAAGAGTACAGAAAAACAAATTGAAGGCCCAAGTTTCAGTACTGAGAGATGCTGTGGACAAAATACTGAATGATTCACTAAAAATAATTGGTTGACACTGAAAAGTTTCAGAAAGTATTATATGAATAAGAGTTAGTGGTAATGAAGGAAGACGTTCAAGCTGCATTGAAGATGCTGGCAAAAAATAAGGCCCCCAAATCTGTGAGATACCATTTGACATACTTCAACTAAGAGATATAGCTCTGGATGTGTGTGCCAGGAAATTTGGAAGACAGCTCCTTGGCCAGCTTGACTGGAAGAGCTCTATATTTGTTCTTATTCCCAGAAAGGTGATTCAATAGAATATAGTAATTCTTGAACAATATCATTAATATCACATGCAAGCGAAATATTGAAGATCATTCAGAAATGACTAGAACATTGCATTGACAGAAAACTACCAGAAATTCAGTCTGGGTTTAGAAGAGGCTGGCACGAGAGATATTACTGATGTCAGATAGATCCTAGCAGAAAGCAGAAAAGACCAGAAGAATGTCTGTTTGCACTTTATTGACTGTGCATAGGCATTTGTCTGTGTGGATCTTAACAGACTATAACTAACCTTGAGAAGAATGAAAATCCCAGAACATCTCAACACTGCTCAAGTGAAACCTATACCTAGATCAAGAAGTTGTTGTCTGAACAGAGCAAGGGAACGCTGTATGGATTAAAAACAATGGAAGTGTGTAGGGCTATGTCCTTTCTCCATACCTGTTCAGTCTGTATGCTGAGTAGATCATTTAAAAATCTGGGCTATAAAGCCCATAAGAAAAGAAAAGAAAAAAGCGGCATCATCATCATTATAGGAAGATTCACCAAACAACCTGCATTACTCAGATAACACAGATTTGCTTGCTGAATACGAGGACTTGAAACACTTGCTGCACAAGATCAGAGTCCACAGCTTTCAGTATGAATTACGTCTTAACATCAAAAAGAAAAATATTCTAACCAAGAGGCCAATAAGTAACATACTGATAGATGGAGAAAAGATTGAAATTGTTAATAGTTCATCATGCTTGGATTCACAGTTAACACCCTTTGCACTAGTACTCATAGAATCAAAATATATACTGTATTGGGAAAGTCTCCTGTAAGGGATCTCTTCAGAATACTTAGGAGCAGTGATACCAGTTTGAAAACTGAGGTGTGACTGATTCAGACCATGGTCTTTTCACTCACTTGCTGTGAATCTGAGAGTTGGACAATGAATAATAATGACAAAAGAATTGATGCCTTTGAATTGTGGTGTTGGAGAAGAGTACTGAACACCCCATGGACTGCCAAAAGAACAAACAGGTATGTCTTGGAGAAAGTGCAAACAGAGTACTTCTTGGAGGCCTGGATGATAAAGAAGATGAGTAGGCACAGTGACTGCATTGGCTACAATGTGTCAGATTTGATGAGGACGGCACAGGATAGGACAGTGTTAAAATTTGCTGTTCATAGGATCACTATGAGATGTACTGCCCTTGATGGCAACTAACAATTTTTTTCATACTGCTGAAATTTTTCATTGTCAGCCACTTCTTTTGGGTACAGCGACTGTATATTCTTTCCATCAAGCAATCATTATGTAAAAAGGAGAAAAGATTAAAATTGTCAACAGTTTCATCTTACTTGGATCCACAGCCAGCATCCTTAGTATCAGGGGATCGGGAGATGTTACTTAAGCAAATCCACTATCAAGGACCTCTCCAAATTGCTGAGGAGCAAGGATGTCAGTTTGAGGACTAAGGTGTGCCTTATTCAGGCTGTAGTCTTTTCAATCATTTGTGCATTTGACAGCTGGACAGTGAGTAAGGATGACAGGAGAATTGATACCTTTGAACTCTAGTGTTGGAATATCCCATGGACTGTCAAAAGAACAAACAGATATGTCTTAGAGAAAGTATAGAGTGCTTCTTGGAGGCAGGAATGGTAAAGCTTCATCTCACATACGTTGAGTATGTTGTCAGGAGGGATTATTCCTCAGAAAGGAGCATCATGGTTGGAAAAATTGAAGGTCAGCAGAAGGGAGAAACTCAACCAAATGGATTAAAACAGTTCCAACAGTGGGCTCGCATATATCAGAGATGATGAAAATGACACCGAATAGGACAGAATTCAAGTCTGCTGTTCATAGGGTAACTCTGAATTGTGTTTGACTCGGTGACACATACTTGTTTAGTAATTATTGCAGTAAGTAACTGGATTATGTTTGATCTCAGTATTTAGTCTTAAAAGATCATATAGATAAATATAATTCTGTGTTGAGGTTTATTTTTCCATCATCACACTGATGACCATAGTCTAGATTGAGAGTATTTTAGAATAGTGCTTCTATCTGATTAGGCTGGATCTCAACATTGCTTTTTTTACCTAGTTGCAACAAGATAAACAACCGAGAATATAAATCAGTTATGTCACTTTGCCCACTGTTTGCTTTTGCTAATTGTACAGATGTGCTGTTGGACATAGTCCTCAAGCTTCTCCTTACAATGTTCTGTGGTTTTACTTTGAGTTACATCATTTCAGAAAGATAGGAGGTTGAATGTAGCTCACTGCACTACTTCCTATTGTAAATTATTTGCCTTTCATTTTGGGATCCCTGGGCAGCTGGTTGGAAATAAAGCTTTGGCTTCTGATAATCCCAGTACAGCTATGTTATCACCATTATGTATTTGAAGGTAGAATGTTATTTAAAAAGTATGATTGCAGAATATTTAGTTATTTCTTGGCTTTTCTTTTTAGACTAGCTGTTGTAATGCAGTTTATTTGTTAATCTTTGCTTGTTTTCTCAACAAAGTTATTACTTGACTACTAACAAACTTGTGATAGGCTCTTCTTACTAATGTAGTGGGGCTGTATTACATTTTCACATCATCTGCCCGCTAATCTTTTCCACTTCCTCATTTATGTCTGTAACCTGGCAAAATAGTGTCATCACCATATTTCATTATTTTAGATGTTCTCTTTCATCTCTTGTAAGAGAAAAAGAGCTCATTTAGTTGAACTGGCAAAAGATTTGAGAGATGTTAAAATGTGAGGAAATGTACATTTTAGTGAAATATATATATATATGCATTGGAGAAAGTATGTATAATACATTGAAGAAAATATTAACTGCAAAGATTCTCATTAAGCATGTGGCTGTGAAAGACTAGGCCTTGAATCACTGAGGCAAAAAAAGGTGACTGTTCACATGGAAGTCCCTTACGGGTTTGGCATCTGCTGCTTGTATCTATATCCTCATTTCTTTTTTACTGTTTTTTAACCCCACCACATTCTCAGATTTCTGCCAACAATAAATACTGAACTGCCTTTAAACTTATTTTATCCTCCATGATCCAATTCACTTGGTTCCTGTAATATTATAGACTTAAGCATATTAATTTTTCAAGAATCTTGTCTTAATTCTGTGTCTCCCTGTGCATAATATCTAGCTTACATTCATTCCTAATTATTTGGTAATAAAATAATTGCAATTTTAGAATAATCTTGGAATTTTTCATTTAATACATTGTTTTAAAACCACTTGGTAGGATTGTAGAACTTGTTTCACTGAATGGAGTTTTGCATAGAAATTATTACCAGTAAGTCTTTTTTGTTTTCTTTTAAGGTTAGATATTTAGAAATAAACATAATACACTGTTCATTTTTTCTTCATCAAGCCACTTGGAGAATGATGTTGAAAATAAGAAGGCTCAGATTCTGAATCTTCAGCAACATATATCTGCCCTTGAAAAGGACATTAAATGTAATGAAGAACTTCTTAAAAGGTGCCAGATACATTATAAAGAGTTAAAGGTAACATGTACAGACTTTTCTCATTGCTGTCAAACATTTTTGTTAAGATTTTTATATGTATTTATTTAAAGCAGTAGTTCTCAAAATTTTATATTAAGCCCTATTAGATGCTTAAAAGAAGTTTTATTTATGTGAATTATGTCAGTATTGAAGGTGCGCCTGATACAGGCCATGGTCTTTGCAATAACTTGTTATGCATCAGAGAGCTTGACAATGACTAGGGAGGCTAGAAGGAGAATTGATGCCTTTGAGCTGTGGTGATGAAGATGAGTATTGAATGTACCATGGACTGCCAAGAAAACAAACAGGTGCATCCTAGAGAGGGTTAAACCAGGCTACTCCTTGGAGGCAAAGATTCTGGGGCTTCGTCTGACATACTTTGGACATGTTGTAAGGAGAGACAGGTCTTTGGAGAGGGACATCATGCTGGGTAGAGTAGAGGGACAGTGCAGGAGGGGAAGACCCTCTATGAGGTGGATTGATTCAGTGACTGGGGTACTCGGGATGGGTGTATCAGAGGCAGTGAGATTGGCACAGGATAGAGCACAGTTTAGGGCTGTTGTACATAGGGTCGCTATGAGTCACAAACGACTCGACGGCACGTAACAACAACATGTCAGTATTGATTAAAAATGAAAACAAATTTTAGGTATTCTTATAATATCATGATAGTAAACTCTGTTAATATAAATAACTTTAATGATAATGAGTTTAATGAAACTTAATCGGCATTTGTTGGTATTTATATATACCTTTAATATCTGACTTAATTAAAATTCAACTGAATTCTCATTTCACTTTTTTAATGTAGCCTGAAACAATATTACACATAATATATTTATAAAATTCCTGCATACCTGTGAGAAAGTGATAGTAAAATGATAATGTTTTCAGCTTTGTTGTAAAAATTGGTTTGAACTCATAGACCCTTGAATAGGTCTTTAAAAATTCCTAGTAGTCTAAGAGTGTTTGGGTTGCACTTGGAGAATTGCTAGATTAATAGAAAATGCTTCATAAATAATCTTTTATCTATTCAACATTGTCATAGTTTTGAATGCTGATTTGTATTACTTGCATCTCTATTGGATGGCCTGTTTTGGTTCACATAATAATGCTAACATACCCTTTTTATTTTATTCCTAAACTATTCTAAACTATTGGTATCATATACCAATAAAAATTCCATGGTTTAATGTATCCTTTCCAAGCTTTTTGTTTTGTCTTTCATTTTATATCACTAAAAAGTCCATTTTTCTTCCAGATGAAGATAAGAAAACATCTTTCTGAAGTTCGAGAACTTGAAAATATAGAAGAACACCAGTCTGTAGATATCGCCACTTTGGTAGGATGCTTTTCTCTCATTTCAATGTAATGTTAAAGGGTACAACTATGAATGAGATTTACACTCCACCTTTGTTTAAAAAAAAGTATTTTTTATTGAGATTATCTCAAATAGACATCAGGGTGAGTAAGGTAGAAAGTCAGCAGAAGAGAGGAAGCCCCCCTAGTAGTTGGATTAAAACAGTGACTGTGACAGTAGGCTTGAGGGTGATGCAGGACATAGCAAAGTTCCTCTAAGATTTTCTTGGTCATAAGGTTGTTCTAAGGCCTAGTTGACAAGATAGCGCCTAACAACAACATTCTTTAAGATTGTTATCTTTATAGAGAAATTAGATAAAAACTGGTATCATAAAGCTTTTAACATCCCTTCCTTTTTTGTATGCATTTTGCGTACTTAAATAATCTGTGTTAGTGGCATTGTGAACAGTGACCTATCAAATCACATTGTAGAAATTGCAGTTTTCATGCAGGCACTTTCAGTGTGTCTTGTTATTAATGAATAAAGATAACCGTAATATTTTTCAGGAACTTATAGTTGGTCTCTTTATATGGTTTTCTTTTTTTCTCAAGTTAATGAGGTTCATAGTCATTCACTACACACTTGTTATTTTTATTTTGTTGTGTCAGGCATCATTTGATATTTAGCTTAGTGTCTCTGAGTTTTAGTAAATGAAAATAAGATAGTTTTCTTTAAATATTTATTTAATGCCTTTTGTGTAGCAGGCCCCTTAAGTATTAGGAATAAAGCAGTGACCAAAACTAGTAATAAAGTCCTGCTTTGGTTACACTTTGATTGTCATACATTCTTCTAAGTGGTAGCACGGGTCTGTCATTTTGCTGTACAGAGGTAACTTGTGGTTGCTGTGATGCTGAACACTGTGACGCTGATGTGTCAAATGCGATAATGGTTACCTATGGTGGACAGTATTTGGTGGAGATCCCAGATTAACACAAGCTTAGAAGCAGGAGTGGCATCCACTTTTGAAATAACTTGCCTCTGGAAACTCTAATGAACTTGGAGAAATGATGAAAGTTATATAATTGTTTAGGCCTTTTGTTCATAGGGTTGCTATGTGTCGTGTACAACTCGATGGCACTTAACAACAACATGGTGACACTTTTTTAATGAGAAATTTTTTTGCTAAATATCATCCCTTCTTATATTTTGACCTGTTTTCTGTTCGTCCTACTTTTCATCAAGGATATAAAAATGCTAGTATTCTTTGTGTATATCTAGATTTTTAGAATAATGTTATCTATTTTAATGATTAAAAAATTGCCTGGCATTTAATTTCTGCATTTCCTTTTATGCCTTATCTTTCCCCTTGGTTTCTAATTTAAATGTAAGCTTTTTGTTTGATCTAGTTTGCCTATAACCTATAATTCCCTATTTCATGGAATTATATTTGTTACTGTTTTACTATATTATTTAAGTTTTAAATAACCAGTTTTATAAATGTTAACAGGAAGATGAAGCCCAAGAAAATAAAAACAAGATGAAAATGGTTGAGGAAAATATGGAGCAACAAAAAGAAAAGATGGAGAATCTTAAAAGTGTGAAAATAGAGGCAGAGAACAAGTATGATGCAATTAAATTGAAAATAAATCAACTATCAGAGCTAGCAGATCCCCTTAAGGTATATATTGTTGCTGCTTGTGTGTGTGTGTGTGCACGTGCGAATGCATTTATATGTGTAGTTTGCTTGTTGGACATTGCCCTACCAGAATTTATAGTTGAGTGTAACTCTTAACTCCATACGATTAGGGTTTAAAGAATTTTAATAATTAAGTTTTTATCATTAGCTCAAGTAAAATGAAACCTGTCTCATGAACAGGACTGAAAGCAATTACTGAAGAAGATCGAAGACTACATATTTACATCTATATCTTCAAGTATAGATTATACTTCAACATCAGAAACCCAAAAATCCTCAAGAGAAATTGTCAAGTTTTTTTTCCTTTTGTTGGGCTCCACAATCAACAGCCATGGAACACATCAGTCAAGAAATCAAATGACGTATTACATTGGGCAAATGTGTTGCCATGGACCTTTTAAAAAGTGTTAAAAAACAAAAATAAGTATTTTAAAGACTAAGGTTTGCCTGCCCCAAGCCATGGTAGTCATAGTTTATTTCATATGCATAGGAGGTAGAGTGGTATGGTCTTCAGGAAATTACACTGCTAACCCAAATGCCACACCTCTTTTTCAGTTTCTTATCAGAAGAAATAACAGTACTTTCTTATGTAATAACTTACAGTTTCTAAAAACCAGAGGGTCAACTTTGAGTCAGTCCTGACTTGATGGCAGTGAGTTTTTCATTTGCATGTTTAAGTTGCTGAGTGAACAGAAAGACTGAAGAAGAATGGATGCCTTTGAATTGTGGTATTGGTAGAGTATTGAGTGAGTATTAAGTATTCCATAGACTACGAAGAACACAGAAATAAGAACTGGAAGGTGTAGTAAGCATACACCCTACCGACCAGAATAGTAAACTTCAACTCAAGTACTGTGAATATGTTATTAGTAGGGGCTAATCCATGGAAAAGGACATGAGGTTTGGAAAAATAGAGGATCAGTGAAAGAGAGGAAGACTTTTCTATAGATTAATACAGTGATTGGAACCGTGGCCTTAAGTACAGTAGATACTGTGAGGATGGCACAGGATTGGTTAGAGTTTCATTCTGTTGTATATCGGGTTACAAATAGTTGGAGTTAACTTGGTAACATTAAATTCATGTCTTCAGTCGAATAAAGTCACCAGATTGCTATTTCTTTAAAAAGTTGCTTTTGTTATTGTTTAGTGGTTTGAGTTTGTGGGTTTGTTTTGTTTTGTTTCCAGAACCAAGAGTAGGGACATCTTATATGTCTATATGCCTTCTGAACAGGTATGCTTCATTTTTTTGTGATTTTATTTCACAGATCATATTATTTTTCAACAATTGTAAGCAATGCTATGGATGATCCTCAGATTAAGTTTGTTGATGCCATGTGCTCACTTCATGTATTTGTGTTATCTTTTGGTGATTACTACAGTGTTTTAGTTTTTTTCCACTTCAGATTGTTTGAGTTTATTGCCATTGAATTAGAACCAACCAACTCCTAACTGGCCCTTCACCAGGTTTCTGATGCAGTCAGTTAAACAGTAGGAGATTGCCCATGTTCTCCTCAGAATTACTGGTGCATTTGAGCCAGCAGAGAGGCATGGCCATTCAGCTAGCAGCTTAACTCCCTACAGACTACACCACCAGAACTTTCATAATAGAGTACAGTATAATTGTAAACATAACCTTTATATGCATGAGAGACCAAAAAGAATATCATGTGAGTTGCTTTTTTTGTGATACTTTATTATGGAACCAAACCCGCAATATTGCCAAGGTGTTCCTGTACTTCCTTGTTCTCATGGCCTCTTTTCCTTTAATAGCTCAAGGATCATAAAAGCCAATTTGAAGTCAGGTAGTACCCAACTACATTTCAGGGTGAATGAAATTTATTTTCTTTTTAAGTATCTACTTGGTTGAATCGAAAAAGAATTAGGATATTTCTAATGAATTGTAAATTCTTCATTTTGTATACTAACTTAGATGCAGGTAACTCAAATTCTTTATTTTTATGAATAACTTAAAATTACACTAAGTAACAAATTTTCTCTTTATAACTCTGAAAAAGCTTAATGGTATATAGTAAAACGAAAAGTATGTTGGTGACCTAACCTGAAGAAAGTTTAAGTTCCTTGGAAACAAAATGTTTCATATGTGTATGAACTTTAATCATTGTCTTCATTGTCAATTTTTTTTTTGGTAATCATAATTTAAAGAGTTCAGACAATATGAAAGTTAGAAAAGCAATTGTGTATAGAAAACATTTCCCTTTAGAATTGTTTATTATCTCTGTAGTTGCTATTCATATTCCTGGCAAGGTAGTTTAAGACATTTATGATACTTTTTAAAAGAGAAATTATACTGATAAGTTAACTGGTTAAGAAGAATATAAATTTTAAATTTAAAAAATTTGGGAGAAGGTAAAAAGGATTAAGAATATTATTGAGGAAGACAAGTAGTAGTTACTTGAAATAAAAATTTTAAAGACCAGAGAAACTGGTTGTGAAAAGAAAAAAATAAAAAGTATTAAAAGAAATGTTAAAATACCAAGAATAAGGAAGGCAGAATTCAGAACTTAGGAATTAGAGCAGTGAAGTTAAAAGAAAAGTGTTTTGGGTTGGATATTGTTGTTGTTGTTGTTGTTTTAAGTTAATTGAATAAAGAATTAACAGGATAACATAAAATCAAAATGATGAAATGTGCAACAATAATTTTGAGAAATTAAGATTCAGATCATTAATTATTTTTTTCTGGACAACTTAAAAAGCAAAATTGATGAGCGAGAAGTTGTGTAAATTTATTTAGAAATGTTGTTTGTTGTTGTAATGTGCTGTCAAGGCACTTGTGACCCATAGCAACCCTTATGTACAAAAGTCCTGCTCTATCCTGTGCTAACCTCACTGTCTCTGACACCCTTACTCTTGCCACCCCAGTTACTGAATTGATCCATTTCATCGAGAGTCTTCCTCTGCTGCACTGTCCCTCCACTCTCCCAGACATGAAGGACTGGTCCCTCCTTGCAACATGCCCAAAGTATGTCAGGCAAAGCTTCAGAATCCTTGCCTCCAAGGAGCAGCCCAACTTCACCCTCTCCATGACAATCCTATTTATTCTCTTAGCAGACCATGGTATATTCAACATTTTTCTCCAGCACCACAGCTCAAAGGCATCGATTCTCTTTCTATACTCCCTAGTCATTGTCCAACTCTCCTGTGCATAGCATGTAATTTCAAAGACTTTCACACCTTGGTCTCCAGCCTGATGTTGTTGCTCTTCAGTACTCTGGAGAGGTCCCTGACAGCTGACTTTCCCAGTGCAATTCGTCTCTTGATTTCCTGGCTGCTGTTACCAAGAGTGTTGATTGTGGAGCCAAGTAAACTAAAACGGTTAACAATCTCAGTCTCTTCATCTATCAGGATGCTACCAGTCAGCCCAGTGGTGAGAATCTTTGTTTTCTTGATGTTGAGCTTCAATCCATATTGAAGGCTGCAGTCCTTGACCATCTGCAGAAAGAGTTCAGGTCTTCCTCAGTTTCAGCTTGCAGGGTTGTGTCATCTGCATAATGCAGATTGTTGATGCCTCTTCCTCCAATCCTGATGCAATATTCCTGTTCATACAACTGAGCCTCCCGGATAATCTGTTCTCTGTATATAAATTGAAAAGGTATGGAGACAGAATACATCCCTGGCACACCCCCTTCCTGATTTTGAACCATGTAATGTCTCCTTGCTCTGTTCTGATGACTGCCTCTTGGTCCAAGTATAGGCTTCGCATAAGCACAATCAAATGTTCTGGGATTCCCATTCTTCTCAGAGTCAGCCATAACTTGTTGTGAATGATGCAGAGATAGACATTCCTCTGGTACTCTGCTTTCTCCAAGATCCATCTAACATTAGCTATAATATTCCTAGTACCACGACCTCTTCTAAATAGAGCCTGCACATCTGGCAATTCTCTGTTGATGTGTTGCTCCAGTCATATTGGGTAATTTTCACCAGAAACTTGCTTGCATGTGATATTAATGATATTTCCACACTCTTTTGGGTCACCCTCTTTTAGAATGGGAAAAATACCAATCTCTTCCAGTCAGTTGGCCAAGTGGCTGTCTGCCAAATTTCTTGGCACAATTTAGTGAGTATATCCAGAGCAGAATCTTTTTGTTGAACTATGTCAATTGGTATGCCATCAACTCCTGGAGCCTTGGTTTTTTTTGCCAATTCCTTCAGATCAATTTGAGCTTCCTCCTTCATCACCACAGGCTCTTACTCATAAGTTATTTCATGAAATTCTTCTGTGTCAGCCAGTTTCTTCTGGTATAGTAACTCTTTGTACTCCTTCCATCATCATTTAATGCTTCCTGGATCATTCAACACTACCCAAAGCATCCTTAAGTATTGCCACTCATGGCTTGAATTTTTCAACTCCTTCAGCTTAAGAAACACTGAGGCTGAAACAAGTCTTGGAATTATGATTCCAGTAAGTTCAGGAACAAAAGTCTCTTGTAGTATGTAAATGAAATCTAGAGTTAGAACAAATTAGTTAGTAGCCAAGAAGCCATTCCTATTCCTTATCCCATCACAATAGCCCTAATAACAGAAACAAGAGAATTTAACTAACCAAATAATTTTGTTAATGAGGATTGACTATGATCACATATTGGGAGCATCTATTGTTAGGTGTCATCTAGTTGGCTATATTATACCAAACGTATAAATAACAGATGAGAACCTTGCCCTATTCTGTCTCGCCACCATGATCTGCACCATGCTGATGCCAATTGATTCCATAATTGTGTCATTCCATTGTGAAGAGGCTTTTTCTCTCCCTTGCTAATCCTCTCTCTGCTTTCCCTAGCATGATGTCATTTTCCAAGGACTGGCCTTTCCTTACAACATGCCCAAATTATACAAGGTGAAGTTTTACTATCCATGCCTCTAAGAAGCACCCTGGTTGTACTTCCTCCAAGACAAATTTGTTTGTTCTTTTGTCAGTCCATGCCATATCCCATACTTATTTCAAATATTACAATTCAGAGTCATTGATTCTTTTTCAGTCTTCCTTACTCATCGTTCAGTTTTCAGATGGAGAGGAAACAACTGAAAATACCATTGATTGCCAGCAGGGTTACCTTAGTCTTTAGCATCCTTGCTGTATAGCACTTGCAAGCTAAAAGTACTTGTAAGTTCTTGACATCAGACTTATGTTGTTATGTGCTGTCAAGTCACCTGCGACTTATAGCGACCCTATATATAACCGATCTAAACTCTGCTCTATCCTTTGCCAATCTCACTGTCTTCAACACACCTACCCCTGGTTACCCCAGTCACAGAAACAATTCACCTCATAGAGGTTCTTCCTCTTGCCCCTCCACCTTTCCAAGCATAATGTCCTTCTCTAAGCACTGGTCCCTCCTTACAACATGTCCAGAGTATGTCAGATGGAGCTTCAGAATCCTTGCTTCCAAGGAGCAGTATGGTTTAACCCTCCCAAGGATGAACCTGCTTGTTTTCTTGGCAGTCCATGGTATATTCAGTACTCTTCTCCAGCACCACAGCTCAACGGCATCGATTCTCCTTCATTCTCCCTAGTCATTGTCCAGCTCTCTGATGCATAGCAAGTGATTGCAAAGACCATGGCCTGCATCAGGCGCACCTTAGTCTCCAGAGTGACACCATTTCTCTTCAGTACTTTTGAGAGGTCCCTTACGGCAAACTTTGCCAAGAATGTTGACTGTGGAGCCAAGCAAACTAAAGTGGTTAACAATCTCAATCCCTTCACCGTCTATCATGATGTTGCCAGTTGGCCCAGTGGTGAGAATCTTTGTTTTCTTGATACTGAGGCTCAATCCATCCATATTGAAGGCTGCATGCAGTCCTTGACCTTCTGCAGAAAGAGTTTCAGGTCCTCAGTTTCAGCAAGCAGGATTGTGTTATCTGCATAACACAGATTGTTGAATCTTCCTCCAATCCTGATGCCACACTTCTCTTCATACAGCACAGCCTCCTGGATAATCTGTTCTGCATATAGGTTGAAAAGGTATGGAGATAGGACACATCCCTGGTGTACACCCTTCCCAGTTTTGAACCATGCAGTTTCCTTGCTCTGATTTGACAACTGTCTCCTGGTCCATGTATAGGTTTTGCATTAGCACGATAAAGTCTTCTGGGATTCCCATTCTTCTCATAGTCAGCCAGTTTGTTGTGATCCACACAGTCAAACGCCTTGCATAATCAATGAAACACAGACATTCCTCTGCTACTCCTGCTTTCAGCCAAAATCCATCTAACATCAGCTACAATATCCCTAGTACCACAACCCCTTCTAAGCCCAGCCTGGACTTCTGACAGTTCTCTGTTGATATTTTGGATAATCTTCAGCAGAATCTTGATTACCTGTGATATCAATGATATTGTTAGATAATTTCCACGCTGTCGCATCACCTTTCTTTGGAATGGGAACAAATATAGATCTCTTCCAGTTAGTTTTATATTTTATGTCATAATATATTTTTCTGTTTGTTGACTGCTCTTTCCATTCAGTGTTGGTTAAGGCTCCAAGAAGAGCAGAGTTTTTAACAACTTCCTTCTTTGCTTCATCTATCATGATATTGTCTGTTGGACCAGTTTAAAGGATTATTATTTTCTTGATATTTAGATATAACTCATATTAACTGTTCTAGTCTTTCATCAACTTCAGTAAGTGCTTTAAGTCTTCTAACAACTCAGCAACAAAAAGCCAAAGAGAACTTAATAAAAGAACTTAACTATATATATACACACACACACACCCCTACATATATGCACATATAAAATGTTTAACATTTTTAGCCTTTAAAGAAATACATATAAAAAAAAATTTATGGTTCCTCAAAAAGATTAAGCATAGAATTCCCATATGAATGATCTTTTGGGTTAGTAGTAAAGCTTGTTAAGAACAAGAGCTTCCCAATACAACATTAGTGGTGCTTATTTGTGTGGATCTGTTTCTAAGTTCTCTAGTCTGTTCTACATATTCCGATACCAGCTGCTAAATTATGATACAAAAAAAATTATTCCCCTTTTCTCTCAGCTGTGCTAGTTCTTTTGTATTTCTTGCATAAATTTTATAATTGCATAAATTTTATATCAGTGTAGTTCATATCTATCACAAGTCTTGCTGGGAGATAGTGAGAGAATTTATGTCATCACTTTATGCAAGCAAAGCAGTGTCATCTGTGAAATCTAGATCTTCCTCTACACATTCTGATGCAATCCTGATGCACATTCTTCTTCATGTGTAGGCCATCTTGAATTATTTGCTCAGCAGAAGATTGAAAGGTGTGTATCAAGGATCAACCCTGAAAAAACCTATCTGGATTTGAAGTATTCCCTCCTTCTGTTCAAACAATTGCACTTTCATTTTCCATCTTAACAGTGTTTTTTACAATGCAGATTTTAATGACGTCCAGTTAACAAAGTGCCATATAGATTAATTTTTTTAGATCTTGATTCACAAAAGCTTTTTAATTGTGAAGTCTAGTCTACTTTTCCTTTTGTCAGTACTTTCAGTTTAAACCTATTAGTATTTGACAGAGTTGTAAAGGTACTTCTTTGGATAAAAATAGAGCCTTTTCAACTAACTGCTGAAGTAAATAAACATCTAGTTTAGCAAAATCAACCCCAAGTGTCTTAGCTTGTACAACATAACTCAGAATTGGCCACAGACTTGAATTTAAAACACAGATATTCTTTTAGGGGTAAAAAGCAAGAAAAACTTTTGCCGTATTGAAGACTTAGAGAATTCATCTTGAAAGCAAAAAGGAATACATAAATGAGAATGTCATCATCCTGTAATGGAACTAAGCACTTTCTGCAAGAAATTGGTCTTTTTTAATTCTTCACTCCCCATTAAAGTGTACAACTCCATGATTAATCTCCCCTGCCCCTGCACATCCTCATCCCTTAGCTTCCACCACTTCCTTGGATCATTATACACATTCTGTTTTGACAGTGCATTATTCAACACTGCAGTTCAAAAGCATCAGTAATTCTTGTATCTTATTTCATTCTCCATCTAAAGCAATTGAAAGTACCATAACTTGTATGAGGTATTTTCCACAGACACCATGATTGTAACGTGACATCCTTTCCCCTTAGCACTTAATATTTGGGCATCTTATCTTCCCAATGCGTGTTGTTTGATTTCTTCAGTGCTGTTTTTATGGGTGTTGATTGTGGATCCAAGTAGAAGGAAATAATGAAAATGTCATTCTTCATTTCATGATGTTGTAATCCATGGTGAAGGATATAGTCTTTGATCTCTTCTTCCTCTTCACTTTGAGCAAGCAGGTTTATCTGGTTGTTGCACAATGAGAGTTTTAGTGTTTTAAAAAAGGAAGCCTGTTTTGATTGTAACTGTATTAAATCTTCTGGAGAGAATTTCCATGTATCATTACTGAATCTTTGAAAGTAATTTATCTTTAGATCTTCTATAATTTATTTTAATGACATCTAAGGGCACCTACCAACATAAAGGGGCTTTTTTATTATTTTTTTAAAAATCCATTTAAGTATCCGAATTACAATAACCAGTGAAGTAATCACTTAGAATGATCAACCATATGACATTAAAAGAGCAGCATTTTCCCGGGGGTAAAGCACCACAGTTTGGAAGGGATAGCATAGGAAGATGAGTTGAAATGAAGACTCAAGGAAGTACAAGGAATAGTGTTAAAATATGGTGATTGTAATTAAAATACAGATGGGTAAGCGAATGGAAAACAGATTTGCTCTATAAACTCTCAAATCACAGTTTTTGAAGTATACAGTTCAATGGATTTTAGTAGATTCACAGTTTTTAAACCATCTCCACAGTTTTTGGATATTTTCATTACCTCATTGATTAGCAATGAAGAGACTCCAATTTCTCCTTCTATGAGCTCCTAATAAAATCTGTTCTCTGTATCTATCACCTACCTCCAGGCAACCCACTAATCTACTTTCTGTCTTTATTTTGGATGTTTAATTTAGAAGGAATTATACCATATGTTGTCTTTAATTAGGGATTTCCTAACTTCATTACCTTTTAAAACTAATTCTGTCAGATGACCTCTGTAAACATATCTAATACTGACATGATTTTAAATTGTTCTTTAGGCTACTGGGGCTTTTCTCAAAACTATTAGAAGAAAATATTTGAAAGCACTGTACAGTGAGGGAGCTCTAGTGGAAAGGAGTTGTCCCACCAACCCAAAAGCAGGCAGTTTGAATCCATTAACTGCTCTACAAGAGAAAGATGGACTCTCCTCTGGTGCCTTTTGTAGCCTCTGAAAACTGGCTGGAGAGTCAGCTGTGAGTCAGAGCTCTGACTTGATGGTGCATAGTGACGACACATAGTGAGACTTGTTATAAGGGTTTGAAGGTGACTTCTTAATCTTAATTTTGGAAAAATTTTCATACAGTTTTGGAAACACTCAGACAGGTGTCAATATGAGCTCTTCAAGAAACGTAATTGCTTTATTCTTCATTTTCTACCAATGCCTTTAATTCTTGTTTGTTTTCTTTAAAGAATCTTAATAGAATATTTTGACTTTATTATAACAGGATGAATTAAACCTTGCTGATTCTGAAGTGGATAACCAAAAACGAGGGAAGCGCCATTATGAAGACAAACAAAAAGAACACTTGGACACATTAAATAAGAAGAAACGAGAACTGAACATGAAACAGAAAGAACTAGAGGTTGTGACGATGTTCATCCTTTCACTTTATTTTGCTTAGGACTTTAATCATCATTATTAAGGTGTATTTACATTAATATCATAATTCCAAATTTATTTTTATTTATTTATTTATTTATTTTTAAAGAACCTTAGTAGCCTGGGTGGCATGCAAATAGAGCCTTTTTTTTGCGAGGAAAATAGACCTTTTATGCTTTATCTTGACTTAACCAGAGTCCTTTTTCCGCCTTAAAGTTCTTGGAAGAGAGTCCTGGTGGTTAGCCATTAAAATCTGTATGGGCATATTTGTTAGAATAGAGTAGGACTATTCCAGCAAATACGGAGTCACCATGAATTTGAATTTAATTAGTGACACCTGGATTGTTTGTTTTGTTGGTGGTATTTTGTTTTGAATGCTTTTTTTGTTTTATTTATTTTTTTGGTGGGCCCCCCCCCCCAAGTGGCTGGAGTGTGGATTGGATTTCAACTTCTACTAGATGCTTTTTTTTTTTAATCTAAAGCAAACAAACTACAGATAGTAGCTCAGAGGCGAATAAATCAACCTTGTCTTAATTAAACAGCTCTGGTGATGTAATATGTTGTGCTGCTAACAGAGGTCAGCAGTTCAAATCCATCAGCCACCATGTGAGAATGATTGTCTCTTCTCGTAAAGATTCATCATCTTAGAAACTAACGCAGTGTTGCTGTGAGTCAGGATCAACTCTCTAGCAGTGTGTGTAGTGAGTTTTGAATAGTCGTAATTAGAAGGAGTTATTTCCATCTTTGCTTTTATGTACCTGAAGGAAAGTGATTTGAACTCTGTCACCCATTATTTTACCTGCTTTATACTTAATAACTGAATATTGTGAAGGTCAGATAAGCGGTGTACAGAATACCTTGATTCTTTGCAGATGTGTCTCTTTATGTTTTCTCCATCAGTAGTTTTAAGAGTCCTTTCTAAAATACAAAGAATCTGATCTCATAGCACTGTGTAACCTTTTATTAATGCAGTTTCCGCTCCTTTCTCCATCCTCCTGTTCACTTTGTAATGCACAATTCTTGTTCCAGATTGTTACTTGTCATTTGCATAATGCTTAATCATACATTTCTTTCAGTCAGTCGTTTCCTTCATCTCTTCCAGTACAGTGTTCATTATACACTCTTTTCCTGTCCACTCCCCTATGTCAGTCACATTACATAACAGAGATCTTATGTAGTATTTGTCCTTCTGTGACAAGAGATCATTTCACTCTGCATGTCTTCCAGACTCACCCATGTTTTACAAGTTCATTGTTTTTGATTGCTTCCACAGTTTTTTTTTTATCTCTTTGTTGTAGTGAATAATGCTGTGGGGTTTTTAAGGGCATATTCTTGATAGCGAGATAGCATAGCTGGGTCAAGTGGTATTTCTAATTCCAACTTTTGAGAAAGCGCCAGACTGCCTTCCATAGTGGTTGTTCCATTTTACATTGTCACCAGCAGTGAATAAGTGTTCCAGTCCCTCCATATCCTTGCCAGCATTTGTTGTTTGCTGTCTTTTTGAGCTGTTTTGTTGTTTCTGGGATGCAATGATATAGTTTTGATAGCTAGGGATTTTGAACATTTCTTCATGTGTTTGTTTGCCATCTGAGTTTCATCTTGGGTGAAGTGTCCATTCATATCTTATGCCTGTTTGCTGATTGAGTCATATGCCTTTTGCTTGTGGAGGTTCTGGAGTATTCCATAAATTTTAGATATGAGTCTCTTAGATGCAGTCTCTTTGTAACCACTACTTGAAATTTATTTCAGTAGGAAATTGGAAATCTGTCAATTTACTGAAGTACCATTTTTCCTTGAAAATATATAAACATGAACTATATTTTTTTTGTATAATGCTTAGTGTCAATATTGAATAATTACATATAATGATATGGATTTCTTAATTATATGTTCTAAATTTTAGTTTGTATATCCTGACACAAGTGTTTACAGTGAATTAATATATCAAAGAAGAATCTGACAGATATTAAACTTTTCTTACATTAGGAGAAAATGTCACAGGCAAGAAAGATCTGCCCAGAGCGGATAGAAGTACAAAAATCTGCCTCAATTCTAGACAGAGAAATTAACCGATTAAGGCAAAAGATAGAGGCAGAACATGCTAATTTTGGAAATAGAGAAGAAATAATGAAGTAAGTGGTTTGCTCCTTTTCTTCTTTTTATTATCTATCTATCTATCTATCTATCTATCTATCTATCTATCTATCTATCTATCTATCTATCTATCTCTGTGAAAAACTAGTTTGGCCTGGGGAGGGTGAAACCATGCTGCTTCTTAGAAGCAAGTATTCCAATGCTCCATCTGACATACTTTGGGCATGTTGCAAGGAGGGACCAGCCCTTGGAGATGGACATTATGCTTGGGAGGGTGGAGGGACAGAGCAAGAGAGGAAGATCATGGATGAGATGGATTGACTCAGTGACTAGAGTATTGGGGGTAGGTGTGTCAGAGACAATAAGATTGGCTCAGGATAGAGCAGGTTCAGAGTTACTGTACATAGGGTTGCTATGAATTACAGTCAACTTGACAGCACATAACAATACATTATATATCTCTGTGGGGACGGGATTTAGTCAAAGATGTAAAACTTGCTGTGGATTGACATTTGAATGTAAATGGCCTTTTAATAAGATTGATATAACCATGAAAATGTTTACCTTCACCAGTAATGAAAGAAATACAAATCAGAATTACTAGAAACCATTTTCCAAATCCTTCATATTTAATAGGACGAAAAGAAACCAGTAATGTCTGAGATTTCAGTGAGAGGAGTACTTCCATGGTTCTGGTTAAGCATGATAACACAGCTATGAAGTGCTCAGATGCTAACCGAGACGTTGTTATTTGAACCTCCCTAATGGATTTAAAAGAGAGTGACTTGATCTGCTTCTGTAACGGTCATAGTGTAAAACACTGTCTAGGACAGTTCTGCTCATACATAGAATGGCACTGTGAGTCAGAACCTCCTCAGTAACACATTACAGTAACAACAGTAAGCATAGTTATAGCCCAGATTTTGGTACAGTAGGATGTTTGTGTGAATTACAGTTCTATCATTGAATTACAATTGTCATTCTCTAGTTGAATGACTTCACAGATTACCCTCTGGACTAATTTTCTTATCTGTAAATGAATATAATTACAGTTCTTGCCTTTATGGATTACTGTCAAAATTAAATAAAGTAAGCCATAGTAAATGATAAAGAATAAAAGAACAAACTAGTTGGCATTCATATAGTCAGTCAGTTCTACCTAATGACAGGCTCATGTGTTTCAGAATAAAATGGGGACAGTTTTGTACATTTTTTAAAATTTTGATTTTTTTTTTTTTTTTGCATAACAATGAAAGAGTGTTTCTTTTCAAGGAGAAGAGTGAGTTGGTGGAGAGGGGGTCGGTAGGGAGAAAAGTGCAACAGTGAATGACTAGAAAACCTAAGCCTCTGTAAACTTTCATTAAAATTAATTTTTAAAAATGTTGACTATTCGATAATTTTTAAAAAATTGATGTTTTATGATGAAAGTTAAGAGTTTGGGTGGCCAGATTTTTTAAATAGATGATCAGGCCCCTTGGGCTTTATCTTCAAAAGCATTCCCTATACTGGAATTCTGTTATTGCCCAGTGGTGGGTTTCTGTACAGTCGGCTGCTGACTGCACGGTCAGTGACTGGCCCTGTCTCAGGAGGAAGCATGAGCTGCTCTCATAGCGAGGACGTCCTTGGAACACTACGGAACAATTCCACGCTGTCCTGTAGGATTGCTGTGTGTCAGTTTACTCTGTAGCAAGGTGTTAGGTTTATTTTTGCTTATATTAATAGTTTATTTGCTGTGTTTTCTAAGATCTACCACTGTTAGATCATTTTCCTCACACAATTTTGTTGTCCTCTCTATTTCTGTTCATTGTTGAGTTGAAACTGACACATAGCTTGGAATAGACCCTTCATTGGGTGTCAAAGGCTGTAAATTACACAGAGGTGGATTGCCTATCTTTCTCTCTCAGAGCTGCTAGTGGCTTTGAACAGCCTGAGAGGTATGGCCTTTGGATTAGCAGTAAAACTTCCTGTAGACCACACCACCAGATCTCCACATCTTGCTTCTCTAAGGCTTCTATTTCCATCCTTCCAGCCTTGCCGGCAGTGGCTCTAACTCACAATAGCATTCTCTACTCTGGAAGTACATTTGTCTGGAGACTTCTGGGATCTACTGATTGTTGTTGTTATGTGCTGTCGAGTCGTTTGCGACTCATAGCGACCCTATGCACAACAGCCCTAAACCCTGCTCTATCCTACGCCAAACGCACCGCCTCTGACACACCCATCCTGATTACCCCAGTCACCAAGTCAGTCCATCTCATAGAGGGTCTTCCCCTCCTGCGCCGTCCCTCCACCCTCCCAAGCATGATGTCCCTCTCCAAGGACCCGTCCCTCCTGGCAACATGTCCAAAGTATGTCAGACGAAGTCCCAGAATCCTTGCCTCCAAGGAGTAGCTTGGTTTAATCCTCTCCAAGATGAATCTGTTTGTTTTCCTGGCAGTCCATGGTACATTCAGTACTCTTCTCCAGCACCACAGCTCAGAAGCATCCACTCTCCTTCTGTCCTCCCTAGTCATTGTCCAACTCTCTGATGCATAACAAGCGATTGCAAAGACCATGGCCTGTATCAGGCGCACCTTAGTCTCTAGAGAGACACTGTTGCTCCTGAGTACTTTAGAGAGGTCCCTAACAGCAGACTTTCCCATCATGATACGCTTTTTGATTTCCTGACTGCTGGTGCCAAGAGTGTTGACTGTGGAGCCGAGCAAACTGAAGCTGTGAACAATCTCAGTCTCTTCGTCATCCATCCTGACGCTGCCAATTGGTCCAGTGGTGAGAATCTTTGTCTTCTTGACATTGAGCCTCAGTCCATACTGAAGGCTGCAGTCCTTGACCCTCTGCAGCAAGTGCACTCCTCCTCAGTTTCAGCATCTACTGATAGGTTCCATTTTGCTACTTTTCCCCACTGAAATATATTTGATATCTTTTCCTTCTGCTTTATGTTTCTCGTGAATAGCATTTGTTTACTTGTAATTTTGTTGTTTTTTTTTTTAATAGGCAATACAAAGAAGCAAAAGAAACCTATGCTGACTTGGAAAACAAAGTAAAGACTTTAAGAAGATTTATTAAATTATTGGAAAAAATAATGATTCACAGATGCAAAACATATCAGCAGTTTAGAAGGTAAGTGACTTCAAAATGCTATGGTTTTGCATTTTTATATTTTCATTGTTTTTTAATATTTTTTAGCAAACTTAAACTAAATTATAACTCACTTCTGAAATAAACTGTCACTGTTTTGTTGGCTGGTACTCGGCACTAATTGTACATTCTAAATGTAAAAGGGACTTGGTAATGAACTTATCCAGCTTTTCCATTCTGTTACATACTCTACACTAAGTAACTCATAGATGACTATGAGTTCAGTCACTACCTAAAACATCTTTTGAATGGCACCACGGAGGTTCTGAAGCAGGCTAATTCATACATGAGCATTGTATCTTCCTGAGAGTTGTAAGTGCTTGGTGTAGGACCTGTTGAGGCAGTGTTTGATTTACTGTGATTTTTGAAGACTGTTATCAACAGGAATATAGAAATTGTGTTTTGTTTACTGCTTTATCTTTAGAGCCCAGAATGACGCTTAAAATATAGTAGTTGTTGTTGCTATATACCATCAACTTGGAACCAACTTAGAGCTAAACCTCCAGCAGGTTTTCACAGGCAGTAAATTACACTAGAGGAGTTTGTCCATCTTTTTGTTGTGGAGCTGCCAATGGATTCAACCACATGCACAGCCCTTTACCTCCAGGCCACCAGTTGTTGATGTTGTTGTTGTTGATTGCCATCGAGTTGAGCATGACTCATAGAGACCCTATGAATAAAAGGCCTGAAGCCTTTCTATAACTTTTGACATTTATCAAATTTCATGGGGTTTCCAGAGGCATTTTTTTAGGAAGTGGATGCCACATCTGCCACCACAAAATAAAGTAGGAACTTAGTATACATTGGTTGAGTAAATGAATACAATATTAGGCAAACTCTATATTATTAAGATGTACAAAGATAGGCAGTTTCACACAGATAGCTTAACTCATTAAAATCAAAGCATACAAAACCAGAGGAAATTTATTGGTAGGGATAGTTTATATACTTGAATTCAAGGCAACCCTAGCCTCCCTTCACATACCTCCATTCCCCTTTCTCCCCTCATGTCATTCAAACTGTAACATGCTTTTTAAGGGTCTTTTCTGTATTCAGAAGGGAAGGTCCATAGAAGCACTGACACATGTAGGGAAATTTCAATAAAGTCATTAATGCGTAACAGATTTTCACTTTGGCCATATTCCTTATGACGTTTGTTAGGTTTTCTTCAATGTGTCCTTGAATAATAGAAATAATTTTGAGATTTGAATTAGGATTCATCTTTATCCCTTTGTGGCTATTTTTTAAACCTCTGTAGAAGGGAATAATGATAGTCTAGTTTTTCCTGTTCCAAGGGAATACAATTCTGTGTATTCTCTCTTCTGTGTTGTATATTGTAAGGGTTTCCACTGTGGTCAGTAGGAGCATGAACTACAGCAATAGCTCACAGACTATATCGAACCATATTAGAAAAGTAAAAAGGCTATAATTCAGTTATGTAGCAGAATATGTTGTTGTTGTTGTTGTTGTTAGGTTCCATTGAATCAAATATGACTAATAGCGACTCTGTGAATAATGGATCTCAACCCCATCCTATCCTGTGTCATCCTCACACTTCCTGACACACTAGAGCCCATTACAGCAGTCACTGTGTCAATCCATCTGGTTTAGGGTCTTCCTCTCTTCGCCGACCCTCCACCCTTCCCAACATGCCTAGCAACATGTCCAAAGTATGTGAACCAAAGCCTAATCATTTTGCCTCCAAAGAGCACTCTGGTTGAACCATCTCCAAGACATATCTGTTTTTTTGGCCGCCCGTGGGATGTTCAGTGCTCTTCTCTAACGCCACAACTAAAAGGCATTAATTATTCTTCTGTCATCCCTATACCGTGTCTAGCTCTCAGATGCATAGCAAGTGATCGGAAAGACCATGGCCTGAATTAGACACACTTGAGTCCTCAGACATACATCATTATTCCTCAGTAATTGAGAGAAGTCTAGAAGTGCACACTTTCCTAATGCAGTTCTTCTCATTTCTTGACTGCTGGTTGCTGTGTTGTTGTTATGTGCCATCAAGTCACTTGCAACTCATAGCGACCCTATATACATTAGCTCTGAAACCTGCACTATCCTGAGCCAATCTCATCATCTCTGACAGACCAGTCACTGAGTTACTCTGTATCATCCCGAGTCTTCCTCTACCACTCGGTCCCTCCAGCCTTGACTGCTGGTACCCCAGAGTGTCAATTGTGGATCCAAGTAGGATGAAGTTGTTGTCAGTTTCAGTCTCTTCTCCATCCGTCATGATGTTGCCTGTTGGTTTAAACAAAGAATCTTTGTTTTCTTCACACTGAGATGCAATCTATACTGAAGGCTGCATTCCTCAATTTTTTGTAACAAGTGCTTCAAGTCCTCACAACAGGTGAGGTTGTGTCATCTGCATAATACAGGTTATTGATAAACCACTCCACCCCTCCCCCAGTCCTGATGTCACGTTCCTCTTCATAGAATCTAGCTTCTTAAGTAATTTGCACAGCATACAGAATGAATAGGTATGGAGAGAGAATACAGCCCTAGCACAATGCCTTGCCAGTTCCAAATCATGCAGTGCACCCTGCCAGTTTGCACAACAGCCTCCTGATTTAGGTATAGGTTTCCCATGAGCACAATTAAGTGCTCTGGGACTCCATTCATCTCAGTGTCCACCAAAACTTGTTAAGGTCCACAGAGTCAAATACCTTTGCATATACAATAAAGCACATATAGACATTCTTCTGGTATTCTCTACTTTCAGCCAGGATCGCTCTGACATCAGCAGTGATATCCCTAGTGCCAAGCCCTTTTCTGAATCCAGCTTGAACTATATTGCTGTGGGCAAAGTATTGAATGACCCAGAAAGCACCAAAAAAAGATGGAAGGAATCACTGTACCAAAAGAACTGATTGACAAAGAAAAATTTCAGGAAAAATCATATGAGCATGAGTCAGTGGTAATGAAGAAGTGGAAGCTGCATTAAAGGCACTGGCAAAAAATAAAGCCCCAGGAATCAATGGAATACCAGTTGGTTTGATTTAATTACCAAATACAGCTTTGGCGATGCTCACCGGTCTATGCCAGGAAACTTGGAGGACAGTTGTTGGCCAACAGATTAAAAGAGGTCCATATTTGTTCCTATTCCAAAAAAGGTGATCAAGTAGAATGTGGAAACTATTGAATAATTTCACTGATATCTCATGCAAGCAAAATACTGCTGAAGATTATTCAAAAACAACCAGAACAATACAGAGGTAGAGAACTGCCAGAAGTTCAAGCAAGTAGCAGAATAGAGTCAGGACATTTTCTTAAATGAACTCCCAGGTGCCTCAGCCTTGAGGCCCACAGCTTTAGTCCCGTGTGCCAAGTATGTATTTCCTCCTACCCTCCAGCAAACTTGGGCAGGGCTGTTAGCTGTGGTTCAGTGACATAGCAGTCCCAGTCTACTCCATCTCATGTCAGGTTTCTGGCTCTCTGCTATGGCTCCGATGGCTACTGCTCTCATCGTTGATCCTAATCTGACCAGCACAAGAATCTCTGGTCCCGAAGGACACGTTGCATTCTCTTGCGTCTTCTTAGCTAGTGGTGAGGTTTCTGCCAGCCCCCTTGTGGATAGGCTAACACTCCCTGTTCACATATTCCCACCCATCCACATGGCAAAGTCAGTTAGTGGATGATTGTTGTTAAGTGCCATTGAGTCTCTTGCAACTCATAGCGACGCTGTGCACAGTAGGCCTGAACCCTGCTCTATCCTGACCCAGTTTCATTGTCTCCAACACATCTATCCGCATTTCCCCAGATTATGTCAGTCCATCTCATCCAGGGTCTTGCTCCCCAGTGCTGTCCCTCCACCTTTCTAAGCATGATGTCCTTCTCCAAGGTTTGGTCCCTCCAGGCCATGTGCCCAAAGTATAGGGAAGCCATTGTGAACAGTAAATCCTTCACACCACACAAGCACTGATCAGCTGTAGACTCCAGCAGGAGCCTTTATACAGACTCCAAGGATCTCCCTGTGCAGTCTTTGTGCTAACACCTCTGTCTTGTAACTTGCATGTCCTTGACCTCCAGCTCTGTTTACTGAAATAAGAAGATTTCTGGCTTTACCTGGGTTTTTTCCCTCTTTACTTTTTTTGTAAGTAGTGACTTGAGGCTGTAGGAAGAGTCATCTTGCTTGTTACTATATTAAGAGATCACTGATCTATGCGATTTGATGTCCAAAGTCTTGAAAATGTTAATATAATAAACTTAATCTTCATTATTCTGTTTTTTTGTTTTGTGGGTTTTGGTGGTTTTTTGTTTTTTTTTTTTTCTAGAAACAGGTAGAACTTTTAATATCATTCTTTAGAGGGGAAATATTTTAAATTATTTGTAAAAAAATGTTTAAATGTATTTCTTTAATACAGTTCTTTACCATTGACTTGTTTTTACATAGTTTACCAATCTTAGGAGAAAACTTGGAATGATCAGATGCTTTAAATCTTTCATCTTTTATACACTAGAGATCTTTGTCATTTTCTGAAGACTGTCTTTGAGATATCGCACAAAAAAAATACGTATCAATGTTGAAAGAAAGGTTAAATTCTTTTTTTCATGAAGCTTAGTTGAGGTTTCAAGCATACTTTGCATGCTTTTAGTCTTAACAAAACGTTCTGAAAACTGACCAATAGTAGTTGCTCTGGTGGCAGAAGAAAACTGACAGCTATCAAAGAAAACTCCAGAATTTTTGGTGTGTCTTTTTTAAAATGTGGAGATTTAGTACAAATTGAGGATTAAACAAGCTTGACAGGAAAAGGATTCAAGTTATAATGACTCATAATTACCACTGACTTAAAATCTTAGGAGCCCAGTGATGCAGTGGTTAAAGTGCAAGACTGTTAACAGCAGGTAAAATTGGCATTGGAACTCAGCAGCATCTCCATAGGAGAAATAATCGAGCAAGAAGATTACCGTCTAGGAAGTTGGCTAGGACATTTCTGTGATGTCATCCAGGCTCTCTTTTAAGTCAGTCAGCTTGATGGTACACACCAACAAATGTTAACCAGATGAAAGAAATAAGAATGTTAAGTATATACTGATAAATACAAAAGCAGTTAATAAATCATTGAGAAAAAGTTCTTTTTTTCCCAATAGAATGTCATCTGATAAGTAGGGAAGACATGAAACCTGGCATTGAGCCAACCAGTTGTGTACGGCATCATCTCACTCTTAGTTCCATAGTCGGAACAGACTCACAGCTGACCCTTCAGGAGGTTTTAAAAAACTGTAAGTCACACAGGAGGAGACTGCACTTCTTTCTCCTGCGGAGCAGCTGGTGGATTTGAATTACCGATCTTTGGGTTGGCAGTGTAACTCCTTACCCATCAGGCCACCAGAGTTCTGGTATCCTAAGCCCAGAATTGATGAGAGAATCTTTACTCTTATTGTTCACTGTGAAGTTGAGAGGAGACAGACGGAGAAACAAATAGGTAGTTTATTCCTTTCTCATTTCCTTTAGAAATTAAGCCTCTCAAGGATAAGATTTATGGATTGCTATAATAATGTATTAATTGATTGGATGATTTATATGTTTCTAGAAACTAATTACTAAATATAATGGAATTAATGAATGTGAAATTACATCTTTATTCATTTTATAAATGTTTTATATAAATGTAAATGAGCTGGTGGAAATACGGGGATGTACAAGCTATCTTGGGTTATGAATGAAAGTAGTGTGTCTTTAAGAATTTATACTTTGGAATAGGCAAGTACAGTTCTTAGTTAGCCTTGTTTTAATGCAATAACAAGTTAGAAGCCATTTTAATAATTTAGATACCTTCATGTATAACAAGTACAGTGATTTTGATAAAAATTTGTTTCCAGTAATGGTTGGTTCAACATTTCAAAGTAAGGACAGATTCATATAATAGTAAAGCTGACTTCAAAAGGTGGTGGTAGTCTCATCAAAGATGGTAGCCCTGTTACAGTTAAAATGTGTCTTAACAGTTTCAGTCTTTGTATATCAAGGTCCAAAGGCTTTCAGTTTCCCATTCTTAATTTTTCCCATCCAGTTGTAGTAACCACTCAAGCAAATTGTAAAATTTCCCATCTGTTCCCTGTTTTGCATCTTCAGCCACGATAGAATTAGTTCAAATTTCTGATTTAGAAGAGCAAGTAGAAGATGTCTATATATCACATATTTGTAACCCATCAACATCTGTACAAATGACTATAAAAACAAATAGGGGAAAAATAATCCAAAAATCCATGCACAAAGTAAGAAACAGATGCCAACAGTCTGCCATACTTTGGCCTCATGTATTTACACAGATTTCTTAGTTTTAGAACAGAGTGAAACAGTTTTCTATCCTATTATCTTTATAATGTGCCAAATTTCTTTTTTTCAAGGTGCTTAACATTACGATGCAAGTTGTACTTTGACAACTTATTATCTCAGCGGGCTTACTGTGGAAAAATGAATTTTGACCACAAGAGTGAAACCCTTAGTATATCAGTGAGTATTTTGTATTGATTGTTGAATCATAATTGGGAAAATGATGAAACAAAGGTAAACTTGACCCTGTTATCTTTGGAATGTAAATTTTTCTCACAGAAGAACTTAAGGATAGATCTTACTATTGTTATTTGCCATCGAGTTGTCTGCAACCCGTAGCGACCCTATGTATAGCGGCTCTGAAGCCTGCCCTGTCCTGACCCAGTCTCACTGACTCCTTCATAGCTACTCCTACTGCCCCAGTTACTGTGTTAATCCATCTCATCTGGGCTCTTCCTCTAGTTTTTACAAAAGTGTTAAATATTAAATTGATCTTACTAGTTCTAAACTAGTTTCTTTAGTTACTAAAATGACTGAGTTAGTGTCTTGTCTCATATAATCAAATTATTTCATTATTATAGTAATTTTTTAACAAGTATTGCTCTACTGGTTTCTTTTTTTAAAAACAAAAAGTCATACTGCTTTTTAAATTATGTATCTCATTTATAGGCAGTCCATACTACTTTGACTCTTAAGAAGAGTGCTGTCCCTAGAAATTACTTTTCTTCCAGAATAAAGCCACCACGTTCAATTTTATAGAATCTATAATTATGGATTCTTTCATAGTTACCTTCATTAAATGGGGAAATAGGATAATGGCAGAAGAAATTGTGTAGTCAGTCAGGAAGTCAAAACAGTAGTTGTTGATGATACTCTGTTCCATTGAATCAGAACTGATTCATAACTGATCCTCTAGCAAGTTTTCAAGCATTCTAAATTGCATAGGAGGAGAGTCCTCTGCTTTCTCCCAAGGAACAATTGGTGGATTTGAACCACTTGCCTTTGGGTTGGTGGCACGGCTCTTAACCTCTAAGTGCTCAAGAATAGACAGACACTACATATTTAATCTGAATAAAATTTTCTAATAAAGACTTTTTAGTTACTGTTGTTAAATATTTTATCCTTCCATTTTAACACTTAGAATAAATGTTGTTTTGTTCCCTTGTGCTTTAACCAGATTAGAAAGTTATGTTTGTTTGCCATTTTTAAAATGCCTTAATAAGAAATAGCTTAGAAATAACTTAGTAAGTCATTGGTAGCTCCTCTGCCTCTACTATTTCCTTGTTGTTGTGTGCTTTCGAGTGAGAGCCAACTCAGCTGACCCTCCAGTGAGTCTTCAGAGACAGTAAATCTCATGGTAGGAGATGGCCTTTTTTGGAGAATTTGAGCCAAATGGTTTGGGATGTTGTAACATGGCTTCTTATACTAGGCTGGCCCCCAGAACATTAAGGGGCTCAAATAATCCTTAAGATTATTCGTAAAGATACAAACTTGAAAGTCTTGGCAGGAATTCTATTTGTAGTTAAAGACATGTCAATAGAAATTCAGAGTTCTCTCTGTTGTCTAGGAGAGAAACAGATAAAGTTCTATTTTTCCCCCCAGTACATTAGAAAACTGTAAAAAGCAAAAAAGGATACATGAATTGGAATCCTAAGATGTGAAGGAAATCTATCCAAGGTATTCTGGTAGCTGCTGGATGTTTTCTTTCCTGAAGATACTTGGAATTGTGAGCTTTTTGGTGGTAGTGAAGTCCAGAAAGAAAAGACATAGGAAAATTTGGCCCCACTTTGGTCAAATATCTTATTATCTTGAATTATCGCTTAACAGGTGGGGGACAGGCCTGGAGCCTCCACTCTGGGAATTTGGCTGCTAGCTGGCATCTTGATGGCAGTCCTGTCGGTCATGTAAGGGAAGTTTTTGGGGTCCAATTTATTAATTTTTGGAATGAATATTCCTGAAATGATACAGCAATCTTTTGTCTATCTGCTGAACTGAAAAACTTGGTGTTGCAGTGATGCTTCACACTGCTCCATAGTCTTGTCAAATACAATAATGCTTACCCATTATGTACAATGTATGGATGAGCTTCCAGATTGATATATGCTGGGAAGCAGGAATGGCATCCACTTGCTATACTAGATGCCTCTGGAAATTCTACAAACTGTCTAAACTCTACGAACTCTCTGAATTCTATAAATGTACAGAAATGATGTTAGTTATAGAACAGAGTTCAGGTCTTTTGTGCAAAGCTTACTCTCGGTCATATTTGACACTTAACCACTGCTAAATGAAACTAGTGTTGTTATATCTGAAGGAACACTCTTCCACTCTTTGTCAGTGTGCAGTATGAAGTAACCTGGGTTTGCTGTGATGCTAAACCTTGTACTATTGGGGAATCAAATACCAGAATGGTTTCTCATTGTGGGCAGTGTTTGATGCAGCTCAGGGTCTTTGTTCATAGAGTTGCTATGAGTCATGTTTGACTCTACGGCAGTCAACAACAACAACAAAGTTATAAGAGATAATAGACAACAACAAAGTTACGAGATGGTTAGTATTTTAACTATGATTAGTGTATGATAAGAAACTCAAGTGGATTAGTGTTAAGAAAGTTAACAACATCTTTATGTATGCAGTTAGAATCTGCCAGCTGCTCTGTAGGAAAAAGAGCATTCTCCTTCCAAGCAATTTACTGTCTCTGAAAACCCGCGGGAAGGTCCGCTATGGGTCATTTCTAACTCAACTACACAGTTAACAACAATTTGCCTGGTTCAAGAAGTAATACTAGTATTAATTTGAAACAGACTAGTAGTAAAGAAGGTGCATATTGCAGTCTCTAGAGTAAACACTGAAAGAATAGCAGAAGAATATGTAACTGAAAAGCTAATACAAACCAGTGAAAAGACTTTTTTAAAACAAACAAAACCTTGACTAATAAAATGAAGGCAAATGGAAGAAAAATAACATGAGGACAGGATTTTCAGATTAGATGAAATCTAAGAGCCTACTTTCCATCACTATTAACAGATTAAGTGCTTCTTAAATGATGATATAAAAATTTTAAAATGGATAGTGGTAATGAGGGATGTAATCATCATCTGAGTTGGACTTTATAAAGGGTTGAAATGACAAAATCTTATCTATTTTCAGGACGATAAAAAACAAGTATACCGAAATACTTGAAATATACTGAAATGGCCAGTGTATATATATTTTTTTTTTAATTTTTATTTTTTATTATTTTTGTGTGAGTGTACCGTCAAATCAGATCTGACTGGTACAGGAGGAGATTGTCCCTCCTTCCCCGGCAGAGCATCTGGTGAATTCAAACCGTGTGCCTCTGGGATTGTAGTTGCAGCTCTTTGCCACTAGGCCACCAGAGCTCTCCTCAGTGTATATATTTTTAGAGAGCTGTAATGACCTAGTGATAATGGTGTTGCACAGCCAACCCTAAGGCACATGGTTCAAATCTACTAGTTGCCCTGCAGGAAAAAGATGGGCAGTCTCCTCCTGTGCAATTTATTACCTCTGAAAACGTTAAAACCTGATGGCACATACCAACAACATATTTTCATCTCAATGAAGAAAATATATATATATGGAATCTTTAATTGTCCACACAAAGTATCTAAATAAACTGCTGTTTGGGACAAAGCATTATATTTGTGCATTTAATTTTTGCTTTTATGGAATATTTTAGTTCAGTTTTCTTATTTTTTACTGCTCAAGAGTCATGAGTTGGTTTAGACTCAACAGCAGTGAGTTTGAGTGAATAGGTTAATAGTCTCTTTTTTGAATTTTCATAAAGGATTCTGGGTTTATAGGGGATAAATAATGAATTTTACTATGTGCTTGAAAATTCCAAGTGTTTCTAGTGCTTGTTGGCCTCTGAATGTTGTTATTTCCCAGAGACATTCATATATTTCACTTCACTAATGCTGTTCCTTTTTGATGTAAACCTGTCTTTTTGATAGTCAATAATTTTAAAACTATTTTACCACTAGATGTCACTATAATTCAGATAATATAAGATCATCACGTTTCACACTAGAACTGCTTTCAGGAAGTCTGGTGGCATTCACGGTGGGTTTTGCTGCCAATCAAAAAGCTATGTGACTTAAAGACAGTCTGAATCCAGCAGTTTTTCAGGAGAAAAATGGGGAGTCTCCAGCTTCAGAAACCTAAGGAGGGGTCACTATAGTAAGAAACGACTTGATAGCATTGGGTATAACAACTTTAGATGGTCTAGCTTCATTCTCTTTTTTCGATCAACAGTATTTAGTTAACATTAACACTTAGGATGGATAAATCTTTGGTATGTTTGTATGCTAGATTCCGTTATAATAAGAAAAAGGTTTTCCATTTCATTCTGGATAAAACAAAAATAATTCCGTTGTTTATTCCTTTACTATAAAATATCTTAGGAATAAAAGATGCCATTTCACATCACCAAATTATTTTCTTATTATCATTGTACTTTTTTTGGGTTTTGTACTATGAATTCTTTGGATCTTATGCTAACCAGCTCATATTGCACAGATTTAACCTTATGTTTTTTTGTTAATTATATCATTCTATTCAAGGTTCAGCCTGGAGAGGGAAATAAAACTGCTTTCAGTGACATGAGAGCCTTATCTGGAGGTGAACGGTCTTTTTCAACGGTTTGCTTCATTCTTTCTCTGTGGTCCATTGCTGAATCTCCTTTCAGATGCCTGGATGAATTTGATGTCTATATGGTATTACTGGATTTTTAGTTTCTTTTATATTTTGTTTTATGTGAAGTGGTCATTCTGAAAGGAAACAATTGTTTCATATTTTAATTTTACCTTTAGCAGAAATGTTCTGACATTTTGTACATGTTATGGAAGAACTGGAGAGTTCTTAATTCTCATCTTTTCTTCTACTATATATCTGTCGAGATTTCAACTCCATCAGATGGTCTCTCTCCTTAAATGTACTCTGTTAACTTATAGAGATGTTCTTTTCTGTTTCTTATGACAAAGTTATCACCAGTTAATCACCTACGTTATGACAGACTCCAGCTACTATTCATTTTCTCCACTCACAGCTATCTCTTTTATAGAAGAGCAGTGCATGTAGCAGGAGGGAGCGTGAGCATTTGATTTGGATATGGAAAAACACAAATTTGGAGACCTGGGTCTGCCACCATCTATCCAAATGATTTGGGGCAAAGTATTTATTATTTTTTTAAACTGTAAACATATTACCATTTTCAGTCTCAGAGTTATAGTGAGGCACAAATGAGGCCCTTGCTCACTGTATGTTTATAGTGCAGCACAAAGTAAACACTCATATTACTAAGCATTCTCTTCTCCACATAGCTTACTTTCTTAAACTCACTATAATCTGAGTATAGACTCTAGTGTCTAGTAAAACTTTAGCAAAAGATCATAGATGTGTGGTGTTTACCTTTTTCAACACAAACTTGTATTCCATCCCTCAAAGCATGTTTCCTTACCAGCCTCTCTGTCCCTTTTCCGAGTCTTCTGTCTTGTGCTTTTAGTTACCTATCTGCCCTGCCTTCTTCTCTAATCATGTAGTCCTTATTTTATTTTGATTTCTTTGTTGGGTTTTTTTTTTTTCTTCAATGCTATTGGCTGGTTTTTCTAGATCATGTATCCTACAACACTTCCACTATATGCAGACATACAGTCCTTGAAGCTATTAATACTTATAAATGGACATCTACAAAATCTTCCCAATTTTCTCTTGTAATTGAAACTCATATTATCGTAAACTCAGTATATCTCTTCATATATTATTTCTTCTCAAAGCTTCTTCATTTTTCTGAATTCCCTACCTGAACTTGTGCCAGGCAGTCATTAACATTTCAGACACATATTTTGGAAAACTGAGATTTGTCTGTAAGTCTTCCTCTCCCCACCACTTTATTTTTTTTAACCTCCATTCTGTCTATTCCTTTTTTAAAATCTATATTAATTTCTACTCTATTCTTTCTCACTAAAATTCTCATATATCTTTATCTCCTCACTTTTTTTCTGTTCTTAATATTTCCTTAGTCCATTCTCCACCTTTTTATTGGGTCTATAATTTCTTTTTTTAAACTTTTTCTTATAAATTAAAGTTAACAGTACATATGTTGATTTTCCATTCAACAAATCACAAACATTTTTGCCAAATGGACGCCATTTGAATGTACCAGCTGCTCTGCTTAAGCAAGTTAGGCAATCTGCTTCTGAGTGATAAAATCTCCAAAAGCACCCTGAGGGTTAGCCATTGGTCTAATCAATGGCACACAAAAACAAATACACGGTTTAATTTATTTTAAAGAGTTAGTCACAAAACTTATTTGTAATACTTAGCTGGCAGAGGAAATAACCTTCATTACGAAGGTGGTTTTCCCAGGGCAAGGCTCACCCTTTGCACCCCAGATGTACCAACCCCTGCAGTTTCCCTAAATGCAGGAAACTCAGCTGCATAATTTGTGATAGTTGGGGACTGCATGCCTTCTGTACCATTTTTAAAAAATTAGTTGTAAAAACAAATTAGTTCCATTGTTTAAAGTGCCAAACGCCATTGCAGGAGATGGAGTTTCTCCAGATACCTTAGCCATTGAGAGGAAATTTGAGTAAATAAATTTGGAGCTTGACACTTTTTAAATTCTTTTTCAGTGATTTATCAATATTGAACTATTTAGATTCATTGTGTAACATTTACTTTTGTTTTTTAAATATTTTCTGGTTGTTTTACTTTAATTGTAAAATATATTTGAAGGGACTATACATAGAAATATTTTTAATATTGACATTTCCTGGAGAATATACTTATTCATTTCTTTCTCCTAATAGTTTGAGTTACCATTTTGCACATGAATTCCTTGATATCCTAGATAATGTAATAATACATAATTCCTGAGTGAGAAGTCTAAATAGATCAGCCGACAGAATGTTGCTTTTACAGAAAGATGAGTTGTAGAATAGTGATAATAATTTATACACTTGTTTTCAGGACATGGTCAATAGGAGAATTGCAATGGACATGATACTCAAGATGGCAGATTCCCAGCGTTTTAGGCAGTTTATCTTGCTCACTCCTCAAAGTATGAGGTAACTTTTTAAATTCTTGTTGAAAACATAGTTATATAAGAAAGAAATGGTTTATGATCTTAATTTTGAATGCAAATATATAAATATATAGCTAAGACAGAAGAATTAGCCTCTGTACTAACTCAGGAGCCCTGGTAGCTTGTATCAAGTTTGGCTACTGACCCAAAGCTGCCTGTTTCTGGCAGTTGGAATCTACCAGGTGCTCCAAAAGAGAAAGATGGGCTATCTTTTCCCATTAAAATGTACAGCCTTGGAAACCTAATGGAGGGTCACTATGAGTCGAAATCAACTTGTTAGCAGTGAATTTTGGCTTGGGGAGGCTAGTGACCTTTCTCCCTCCTGAAGGTGTAGAATTTTGATTGTGATCTCTTTCCTAATTGAAGCAAGTTGATTTGAATTATGATTTTTGTTCTGCTGCTGTTTCTATATTTAGCCTCCTTCTCTTACTGTTATTACCAGTAGAATTTTAGCAGCTCGATTTAGACTAAAGAAACAGGTCTTTTCCTAGCCTAGAGTCTTTTCTTATAGACCTATAGCACTGTAGTCAGTGGTTATTGGGTACCTATCATGTGTCTTTAATGAGAAAGACAGGAAGTTCTAGTGGCCTAGTGGTTTGAAGCTGTACTGCAAACCCAGAGGCACATAGTTCGAATCAACTTGATGATCCATGGGAGAAAAATGGGCTGTCGCCTCCTATGTCATCATTTACTGCCTCTGAGAACCTTCTGGAGAGTCAGCTATGAGTGGGTGCAGACTCACCAGCAAACAGCCACCCACACCATGTGTATGACACATGAACCTTTGAATTTGATACTCCATTTGTTAAATGGTCACTTTATGATATGGGAAATCTTCATTTGTGATTACGAATAATTAGTAATGCCTTCTTGGCAATATAAAATTAATTTCTTCTATAAATTGAAAGCCCATGGCATCAAATAAGTTTATAAAAATGAAAAAAATTTCTTTTTGTGCAAATTATACTTTTCCTAGAATTCTCGATTGTAAATATGTCCATCTATTAGCAGATAAGTCATTCTGATGGATGGTCTTAGAATAATACTACGCTTTTTTGAAATAAGAAAACTTTGATGGGAGATTGAGTAATTGAATTTATTCTCTTTAGCTCACTTCCTTCAAGTAAATTGATTCGAATTCTCCGAATGTCTGATCCTGAAAGAGGACAAGCTACACTGCCTTTCCGACCTGTGACTCAGGAGGAAGAGGAGGACTGAAGTCATCCGTAGCTTCCTAGGCCATGTCCACCTGTTGAAAAATGTGTACATCGGCAGGAGGCAAAAATGTAGGATTATTTGAAATAAAATGTAACTGAAGATATCCTTAAAGTAAAAGGAGCTCTTTTGTGTATCTGACAACAATAAAATATGTAAATAAGCTTCTAAGTCTAAATTCTACCAGCAATTTAAAATTACCACCACTTTAAGAAAGTCAGATTCATAGTACTGGTTTTAAATCTTTATAAGTTTGTTTTTTAACCATCTACTTTTTATAGATTATTTTTCAAAAGTAAAATATTGTACATATGTGGATATATATCTGTTTAGTTTGATTTTATTTCTACAGTATTTTGTAAGAATTAAAATAAAAATTGAACACATGATTTTATTTGGTTTTGCTTTTCCAAGATAATGGATTCTGTAGTTAAATTATAAAAATAGTTGAAAGAAGAGAGTTCTCTTTTGGGGGGATGGTGTTGGTGGGAAGTCTATAAAGGACCAATTGACAGTGGAAGTTACTGTTTGTTTTTGGCTTAGTAATCATGAAAGACCTACACGTGACTTTTTCTTGACAGTTTCTGTTTACTCATAATGTGAATCTTGCACAGAATCCCTTCCTACAAGTACTTTTTAACTCCAGAATATACTAGATTTAGACTATAAATTTTAATGACTTTTCTCAAACTGAAAATGTATTCCTAAAACCCTGTTGTATGGGAAATGGGAAATACAGTTGCCAGCTGTGATAGTTTCTCTCATTTCCCTAGCTGCCCATCACCCGACTTGACTCTGTAACCAATATTAGAAATGAATAATCAGTGTTTCATCCTGACCTGCAGCATTCTTTCCTGTTTTAGAACCCACCAGTTTATGGTACAGGAGCTTTCAGGCTGAGGCTCAGTGAGGAATGGATAATTGGGGCAGAAGGGCATGACTTTTAGTTAACAGGGACATAGGTGTTAACGACCAGAGTCAAATGCAAGTTGTTCATGGTGTTCTACAATTTTTATTTCATTTTTATTTCAAAGATGTTATAAAATACACCTTAGAATGATTAATACCCAGAATAAGAAATTATATTTATGAACCTTTTTTGGAGACCATGAGTTCTATGTGCATTTTTTATGTTTGAAACTATAATTATTACTAAACTTTTTTAAATGACGTGAATATCCAACACAAAGTATTTGCTATATTCCTAGCAGTAAATGTTAAATATTTATTAAATGAAAACATAAATATTTTAACAAAGTTGTAAGAGTTTGAGATATCTACATTGTTACTGAGAACACTGGAGTGTTTATTTTTTATAAGAATAGAAGTATGCTTTAGTCTTAAATTGAGATCAGTTGAGTAATGTAGGAATATGTACCTTTTTAATTTTAAGAATGTATAGAATTGGAAGGAAAAGTGAGTTTTTTAAGTATTCCCTACTGACCTTACAAAGTCTGATTTTTATATTTACACCTTATTTGTATCAAAGCTATTTCAAAATACATGTGCTTTCTCAAATAAAAGAAACAGAATATATAAAATGCATAAATTCAGTAACTTCATTGACTTTTTTCATAATTATACTTAAATGTTGTGATTCTTAATAAAAAATAAGAAATGGAATCTTCAGCTATCCAAGCATCTGCTGTTGAATTAAAAAGTACTACCTTTGATGTCACAGAGTTTTGACTTTAACTATCATAGTTGAAAATATCTCTACTTAATATTATAATTAATAGTAATGTTAGTAAGAATAAAAGAATGAAAATATATGTAACTTCTAAGAAAATCTAAATTCATGCTTTTGGAGAAAATGGTCTAAATTTTACCTCTCCATAGTGAGAAACATCATACAGCTAAATCTCCAAGCTCTAGTTTTTTTCCATTAGTGTAGCTATAACTGAAAGAGCGCCTGATACAGGCCATGGTCTTTGCAATCACTTGTTATGCATCAGAGAGTTGGACAGTGACTAGAGAGGACAGAAGGAGAATTGATGCCTTTGAGCTGTGGTGCTGGAGAAGAGTTTTGAATGTACCATGGACTGCCAAGAAAACAAACAGATTCATCCTGGAGAGGATTAAACCAAGCAACTCCTTGGAGGCAAGGATTCTGGGGCTTCGTCTGACATACTTTGGGCATGTTGCAAGGAGGGACAGGTCCTTGGAGAGGGACATCATGCTGGGTAGAGTAGAGGGACAGCGCAGGAGGGGAAGACCCTCTATGAGGTGGATTGATTCAGTGACTGGGGTAATCGGGATGGGTGTGTCAGAGGCAATGAGATTGGTACAGGATAGAGCAGGGTTTAGGGCTGTTGTACATAGGGTCACTATGAGTCACAAACAACTCGACGGCACATAACAAGATATAACTGAACTGAGTAATGAAGTCCCAGAAAACATAGAAGGGTTCTTTGAGCTTCTACCTCATCAAACCTTGGGGTAAAAATTATTAAACTCATCATGAGATGAATGATGTTGCTAATGTCAGATAAATCCTGTTTGAAAGTATAAATTGTTACAACTCGGTCAGCATTTCTTAAGCTGAAAGAACTGAAGAGCAAATTCAAATCTTGAGTTGCAATACTTAAGGATGCTTTTGGCAAAATATTAAATGATCCAGAAAGCATTAAAAGAAGATGGAAAAAGTATAGAGAGTCATTGTACCAAAAGAAATTGGTGAGCACGGAAGAATTTCATGAAACAACGTATGAGCAAGAACCTGTGGTGATGAAGGAGAAGTCTAAAAAAACTGAGAATGGGAATCCCAGAACACTTGATTGTGCTTATGTGAAACTTATACTTGGACCAGGAAGCAGTCGTCAGAACAGAGCAAGGAAACACTGCATGGTTCAGAATTGGGAAGGGTGTGTGTCAAAGATGTATCCTATCTCCAAATCTTTTCTGTCCGTATGGCTGGGAGGCTGGGCTCTATAAGGAGAAGTGTGGCATCAAGGTTGGAAGTAGACCCATCAGCAATCTGTGTTATGCAGATGACACAACCCTGCTTGCTGAAACTGAGGAGGACTTGAAGTACTTGCTGCAGAAGGTCAAGGACTGCAGTCTTTAATGTGGATTGAAGCTCAACATCAAGAAAACAAAGATTCTCACCACTGGACCAATTGACAGTATTATGATGGATGGTGAAGAGATTGAGATTGTCAACAGCTTCAGTTTGCTTGACTCTACAATCAACACTCTTGGTACCGGCAGCCAGGAAATCAAAGACAAATTGCATTGGAAAAGTCTGCTGTCAGAGACCTCTCCAAAGTACTGAGGAGCAATGATGTCAGTCTGGAGACTAAGGTGCACCTGATGCAGGCCAGGGTTTTTGCAATTACTTGCTATACATCAGAAAGCTGGACAGTGACTAAGGACTTAAAGTGCCAAAGAGCAAAGATGTCAATTTTAGGACTAAGGTGTGCCTGATCCATGCCATGACATTTTCATTTGTATCATATGCATTTTAAAGTTACACAGTGGCTAAGAAAGACTCATGAATTTATGGCATTGAAATATGTTGACAAAGAATATTGACAATACCATGGACTACCAAAAGAAGTCTCCCCTTGAAGAAGTGAAATTTAAAAGCAAAGATAGTGCAATATTGACTCCTGTAATTTGGTCATGTTCTCAAGAGAAGTCAGTCACTGGAGAAAGACATGTTTGAACAAACGAAAGAAAGGAAGACCCTGCACAGGATGGGTTAACAGTAAACTGTGAAAATGGGCCTAGCCTTATCAGAGATTGTGGTAACAGCAGAGGACTGGGCAAGGCTTCCATCTGTTTTATGTCCCCCCACCCCCATCTCAACAGTACCTAACAGCACAACAGGGACTGCTGTGCAGTTTCTAGCACTCTACTCTTTAAAACTATGTTTCTGTCACTATAGTTGTTCTACGCCTGTTCCACCATCCTATGTTGGATTTGGGACCAAAAAAAGAAATTATCCCTTTGTTTCACAGGCCTTTGAGTAATAATAAAAATAGTCCTCAATGTGCTGTTCTTAATGAAGCACACCTGAAGTGCCTTTACATGAGGTCTTGAGAAGCCATATGGCGGGAATTCTTTTGGGTTTTCTTCAGAGGTGCTAAGTGTACTGTGCCTGCGTAAGGGATACACATTGGGACCACGGGGCAAACCAGAACACTATTTTCCAAAGACGATGGCAGTAATACCTCTGTTCCCACATACTAATGCTAGAATTTTGGAAAACCTGTTTAAGAGACGTAATCACATTCCGGCATGTTGGTGAAGACAAATGAAAGCGACTGGAACCCCAGGGTGGTCTACTCTGCTGGTTCAAGCCCGCCTTATTAATAAAGAGAGAAGGTTAGGCTTCCCCCACCACCTCTCCCATACGCACTTCCTCTCTCACAACTCAGCTCGGTGGACCCAAACTAGGCTTCACTTCCCAGCCACTCCCCTCAGAAACACAGCCGCCAACGCATTAACACAGGCTTAAGACAACGCCTAGCCTAACGAGGGGGAGAGGGAGACTTGCGGCTGTGCTGCCCCCTACAGCCCGCACACTAACATTGGGCGCAGGCGTTGTCCCCTAGAGCATGCACATTAACATCGGCTTGTGCAGGTGCTGCCCCCTTACAGCCCTCACATTAGCATCCATTAACATCGGCATGTGCAGGTGCTGCCCCCTACAGCCCGCACGTTAACATCCATTAACATCGGCTTCTGCAGGTGCTGCCCCCTACAGCACGCACATTAACATCGGCTTCCGCAAGTATCCCTTGTGTCCTAAAAGAAGGAAAGACTGGGTTCACCTGGTTAGACGCAAAAGCTTTGTGCCAGGAAAACAAACTTTTCTTTGTTCAAAGCATTTTGAAGCCTCCTGTTTTGACCTAACAAGGCAAACTCGACGACTTAAAATGGATGCTGTGCTCACCATTTTTTTTTTTTTTACTTTTGTACCCATATAAATACTATGAAACTCAAAACAAGAACTCTTTTGGAAAAAACCAGCATTTGTACTTCAGCAAGATCACCTA